AAGAAAAGGCAAATATCAATTTTATAACATTTAGATGATGGTTTTAGAGCATGTTAGATGCATATCACAAAGAAAATAGTACTAAGCGTGAAATAATTGGTCAAAATAGTAGAATTCAAGAATCACTGTAAATTAACTTAGTGCTTACAGACAAAAGAAGCAAAAGATGGTTCAGGTAACTGGCCAATGAGTAACAGGAGTAAACTATATCAGGACCCAAACAGTTTAAAAAAACTTTGTGAAATAGCACAATTAAATTGGGATTATATAAAGACATATAATTTTTTTGTCCCAGTCATTTTCCTCAAATTGCGTGTTTAAGTTAATCACACTATGTATAAAGTGTGTCGGACTCCTGATGTATTTCTTAATCGCACTTGTTCAGCTTCCATGTTGTCATTTTTTGGGGTATAAGATGAAAAACTTTAGTTGGTAGAGACTGTCCGACTGTACGGATATGCAGACTGGCCTGGCACTATACAGGTGACAAAGGCCAATCAATTTCGCCTCCAACAGTGGTTAAAACGTGTTAAAACATTAAACAAATGAGGATGATATTATTTTCAAACCCGGACACGTTTCTTCATTTTCTTCCTATACCGTACAACATTTTTGTTGTGAAATTATACGGCCCACATCCAGTTCAACTTACAAAACTGGAAGGGAAAAAAACATTTGATCAAATCTACTTTTTTGTATAGATACTACCCCACCCGAAAATTGAAAGAAAAGTAAAGAAAGTTATGTAACTTATCCACATTGTGATCGACATTTTGCACATAAAATTGCAAGCACTTGATGGTCGATGTTGATTATATACACAGGTATTTGATTTGATCCTTAAATTATGTAAATAATCATATTAAAATTCTAACGGTAGATCAAAGCTTTTGATATTATTTTCTCCGATAGAGTTTTTACAGTTCTGTTTATTGTATAAAGTGTCTGTTCATTTCTTGGCCTAGATCATGTAAACAAGTTATCTTTCAACACTCATTCTAAGATCAATAATTGTCAAAAATCAATCGGCATTTATCATCCTTGAAGAAAAAGCGCATGAAATATTGAAAATGATTTACGGCAAATTTCACACGAATGTTGGAATAGCATAATGACATTCACATTATGTTAGAAAGTGGTTTGACGTAAACGTTTTAAAAAAAACTTAAGTCAAAATAATTTTATTACTACTATATAGTATGTTATAGTATAATCATAGTCTGTTTGAAAGCAACAACAAAAGTATGTGTATCACGCCACCACTGTTTGCATGTAACAACATAACACCGGCATGATTGGTCAAGTCTTTGATCTGGTGTATTTAAATAACAACACGTCTATACGGTTACGTTCTCAAACATGGTTATCGTTGATTTACCATGTCGTAATTTTACGACATATGCAGTAATACTGTTTACAGGTGCTCACTAAGTTAGGTGGAATGTTTGTACAAGATCTTTATTCAAGTGCCTAACTCAAGTTTGTTATGTCGGTTTCCTATTGCATGTAAATATTTATGTGTGCAAATCGATGTTTGGTAAAGTAAAGTATAGGAATCGATGATGGAAACATAAGTGCTGGCGGGCTGTGATTGCATTTGTTAAACATTATGTTAATCGCAGCATGCACGACATAATTGACTAGGTTAAATTGAGAAAGTATGTTCTATTCGTGTACAGTCTGTCTATGATTGAATCTTACGTCACGTGAATGCAATTAACTTGATGACTAAAAGCAACATTACAGTGACATCTTTGAAATAAGTGCACTCCTAAAAGGTGTCGGTCCGGTGAATTTTCGTACTCTTTGTTCTATAGTAAATCAGTCATATTTAAGGTTCCACTGTTCTTGGTGAACTATATACTGTCTTCAACTTTAAACATCAACACTATCTAAGTCAAATGAGACCAGAAATATATAATGTGTTAGCCATCTACTTTTTTCAGAAATCTTCATTTTGTTGTAACACTGTTTAAATTCACCACTGACTGCTGGTGGGTAGTACATTTTTTATCTTTCCGCCAACAAGTGAGTTCCTTGAGAATACTAAAAAACAACTTTTATTAAAGTCATCCATTGACACACAAAACTACATGCAATAAAAACACTTTAATTATGACCAATCAACCTAGAGATAACTTAAATTAGGCCACTTCAAAAATTAAAAGAACTATTTTCTAGACTACAACGGGTTGGTCTAATTTCGTACCGGTGAGACCAAAAGCGATTAAAAAGTCCGGTACACGATAGGTTTCTAAATTCAACGATTTCCTCTTCATAAGGGTATAAACTTTAAAACTATGAAAGAGCACATTTGTCACAGATCTCATTTGTCACGTATGAAAAAAATACAAGACACAAGAAGCTTGATTTTAAATCGGTTTACAAATTATAAGAAACATTAGCTAAAAGGCCATTTACTGCTAATAGGAAAAGACGGCTTGAAAGGCGGCGCCCTTTGCCCTAATCAGACCTAATTGTCACTTTAGGTGCACATTGACTGTTGTACAGTGACCTACTTTCGGCTCAAATTTACGACCTTTTGCTAATACCGTGTGGAAATTGTACGAGGTAAATTATCACAGCGAAAGCCGCATCTACGTAAATTTAGAATCACTTGCTTTGCTTCTGACTTTTTCCTGATAAGTAAATTTGAAACCTGTGGTCCAGGGGTAACATGTGAGAGGTTATACATACATGTGATTCGTGCCAAAATATATGTGGTCTCATATTAGCATGCTAATACGAAGTATAATTTTTAGACAACTGAGCAAAAGAATTGGTCCCCTCATTCATATGCAACCTATTATATCTATACAAATTGGGGTAGCTCTGCGCTCAAAATTGACAATTATTTTTCTTCAGTTCTGTCAACACATCTATCACTTGTGACCGGTGTTATACAACTGGTGTCCTTTCTATGATTAGTCAAACACATCGGTTACACTTCTTATCTGTGACGAAAGTGCAATACAAGACAATGTAAAATATGTGATTCCTTACAAATGTATAATATATTTGGTGGTGGTTATTAAAATAAAATCATGCCTTAACGGCCCATTTTATCCTAGAATGCTTTAAGTTTTATTTCTTAAAAGCTTTTCCTTCTGGTGTCCCGAAAAAGTTACCGTTTGGTCAAACCCTTAACCATCTTTTGCTTCTGTTGCTATTTGGCTATTAGTACAATTATAGTGATTTAGTATTTTGTATAGGAGTCAAAATACTACTTTCAAATTGTTAACATTTTGCTACTTTAATGACAGATAAATTTCGCATTTAGCACGACTTATTTCAGGTAATAATAATCAACATGCTCCAAAAGCTTGATTTTACTGCTATGAAACTCTTGTTTGTGTCCTTTCTTAAGAGTGAAAATTTTATACGTTTCTGGGGCATAATGTGTTTTAAAACAATGATATTCATAAACATTTGATACAGCTAAAAAAAATTACTATAGCAATTAAATATTTTGTCATTCATTTCAAAAGATTTTTTTTATAAAATTTTTAAAAGAAATTTTTATAAAACATGATGGTACGGTTCTTTAAAACTTTTCCAACATTTTACCAACTTTTTAATTTAAATTTTTTATCAATACGAATAATTTTAACTGTATCAGTACGTGTAAAATCTTATTTAATTGATTTTTTAGAAAATATTTAAAAGGCTAAAACTTTTTCTGAAAAAAAACTTACAAAAACCCTGTTAATTTCCTATTTTTTTAAATAAAAAAATTACCCCCCCGGAACAACCAAAAACTTGGCAAAGTTTTTAATGTATACTGTAAAAAAAATCGTGTCCCCTTCAAAGCAAGATACGAAAAAGGGAAATCTTTAAGAGGTCTGAGGGTAAATATTTATTCAGGGTAGATCAGAACACAAAGGCTACGTCAACTAATGTAATTAACCTGATCTAGTTCAAATTGTTACAAGCTTCTCAGATCTTCAGTTGTCACCTGGGGATCATGACAATATTGACACGGACATGTATATGGAAAGAAAATTGTTATAAGAATATCGCTTGCAATATCTTTAGTAACTTATATTAATTGTTGATTGCCCGTATTTCACACCCGTGTGTATGCGTGCTGTTCTCTGCGACGGGATTTTTTTTAAACTGCGTTACTATAAAAGGAAGCTGGCTGTACAGAATCGATGATTAAAATTTATTTTTCTGTTGGATATTCTCTGTATCAAATGTTCGTCTAAATCAGTTGCTTATTTTTATGTTATTATACTTTGATCTTCATTAGGACAGACATTCCGTGATTTCTCCGCGTACAGGAATTGTTTCTTGGATAATATCTATTGATTTCATCTGATTAAGACAAGTTCTACCATCTGATTAATCAGTTATTGACATTCTTGAAAATCTTTGCCATGTTTGTGCCTGATTTAATAACCGCCATTTTTTGCTTCATCATGTGATACATAATACCGCATTTAATAAGATCACGTGACAATATTCCAATAGATGTCATGAAAAGATTCAACTGAGCAATCGGATGTCCTTTGTTCTTATAGATCTGACATATAATAAGATATAGGCTTACAAATTAAGATATCCAGTCATTATTAATGGAAGGCATGGATTAGCCAGGCCTGCGTGGTGTAAGACGGTTAAATAAAAACAACGATGTATTTGTGGGCAGAATGGATTTTCATGAAAAGATGTAATAAAGCCTAAATAACAAAAGCTGGATTAAATATGGATTTTGTGTATTTACTTTGACCAAAATAAGTTTGTGTTTTTCATTTTCGCATATGATTTTAACAAAAAGGCCCAAAAAACTGACGGGAGTTTAAAGTATTTTTTGAAAAAAGGGTATTTTTAGGGGAAAATACGGGGTGGTGAGGTTTAAAGTTTGTTTAAAAATGGAGGAAAATGTTCTTTCAACCGGTATAGATACCCAAACAACCCCATGTCAAGGAAAAACCATTTTTTTCAGAAGGCAAAGGGAAAACCAAAAGCGAGGTAAGGGATGCGAACAAATAAATCAGGAAAAAAAAAAATTTCAAAGGGAAAGGACTCAGTTAGGTGATAAAGTGGAGATTAAAGTTGGAGACAACCTCAGTGATTCAGGAGATGGTATAACAGAAGATTTAATTGAGCAGACTATCGTTGATGTGGATGATACTAATAAAGAAGAAGAGGTCGCTGTTTTAACTGACGCGTCTACGTCAACGGTAGGTTCAACAACGTAAATACAACGTCATGCTTACTTGTTATGTAGCAATAAATGCGAATTTTAAAAATGTTTTCCGAATATACTGTACTTTAAAGAGAATTGACGCGGATGAATTCAATTAAAACTTTCATTGGCGTGACTGTCCATGTGTCTGTACGCATCTATTTAGATAATTGTTTTACCGACCAAATAGATATCTTAATTTTAAATTGCATTTAAACATTGCTGTTTCATTTTGTGATGACATATCATATAATAGCAAAACATGTTTGACGAATAAACTCACAGCTGTTACAGTTGAAACATTACAAAAAAACACGTTTTAATGCAGATCTCGTATTTAAATGGAAGAAAATATTTTTGTTTTGAAATCGCGTTACCTCGCTACGAGGGGCATTACGTACATACATCTGTATGCCAAAGATTCTTATATACAGGGCGGTCTCTTTATACGTGAAACAATAGCAGTATATCTTAATATAATCAAATAACAATCACCGTATCACAAAAACATCTATACACGATATTACTGTGCAAATTTGTTTGATCGTTAAAAAGGTGATTGTTTGGCCGTTGTCCAAGACATTGTATTTATGAAATCAATTAAAGTAAGGCAAGCAGGCAGGCTAGTGTAAAGGCAGTCAATATTTATGGTCCAATAAACGAGAAGATAGTGCTGTGTATAAAACCATAAAGGGAGACAGGCCGGAGGAATCTGTCAATACGGAGCTATTAAACTGGCTAAGGAATGCACGAGTTGTTGAGATGTAATAATTTGTAATTAAAAAAGATCGTCAAGAATCAATAATACTAATGTACTCATTGCGGGAGGCCGGTAATACAACTGTTCTAGCACGTGTAACATAATTCCTAGATGAAGACACATGGTGACACGACACGAAACCATTTATTTTTTATAAAACCACCATTATAACCAGCAGTAAGATAATCAAAATAATTAAACCACGTTCAAAGATATCGAAACATGATAACAAAGTAAGGCGGTCTCATCATCACTATGTAAGTCATTTGGTACATGTAGATGAGACGAAGAAGAAAAAACATTTTATTAATACATGAACGTCCTTAATATATAATATCAATGCCTTTATAAGCAATAAAATTGCAAGTTATTACATTTGAAGGGTAATTTAGAAAATTTATTCATGTATCACCAAGTCATTGACACTCGTGACTCCACTCAGAGATTTATATTGCTGAGATATATCTCCTTGGTTTCATTTACATCAAATCTACTTTAAGACCTCTTTTTATTTAAAGTTATTGATATGTTTAACGTGTTATCTTTCGCTGGGCGTTATATGACTTAGTCCACGTGTCATTAAAAAGTCCATGACAAACTTATTGGTATTATTTAACATAAAGTTTCAAACTGGTACGTTAAGGTCTCTTGTTTGCACTGCCAGCAGTAACGTTGTGTCCAACTCGCTCCCTTGATATGCGCAGTAAGGTTAGACTTTTCTCTTATCTTTCGTACTCTTGATCAAGGGGACCTACAAATTGCCAACTTAATAAATATCGGAACTTTTGTTTACTTTCCGCTGCTAATATCACACGCTGTATTACTCGGTTCGATTTTTCGTCTTGGTAAAAATTAAACGAAATATTTCCGCCAAGTTATTCAGATAAGCTGTTATAATAATAATTTTTTGTAAAGGCTACATTTAACATTTGTCGTATTTCAAAACTTACCAATGTGCTGTAAAAAAAAGAGAACTTGCACATGATAAAGAAAATTGTCGGATATTTGTTTTCGTTGCTTTATGACCTTGTATACAGAGGGAAGGCAATTCTTCTTTAAATGAGATTTCTTTTGTATACCGGGTTTATATGCGTATTCATCGACAAAAGAGAAATTAGATTTAAATAGCTGCTAAAGAAAAGTATTAACACCGTATTTTCGGTTAACGCTCGAAATCGTATTAACAGGTCACCTGTTATTGCCTGGATTGTTGAAATACAGTGTCACCATTCTTTAAGACATTAGATAATTAGAAAAAGGTGTAATTAAAAAAATGACTTAATGACGGTCGAATTTTGAATTTGACGATTTTAGAAATAAATGTACACATTGTAAATGTTTGACACAAAGGAATAAAAAGGCGATTTAACGGTAGGAGTAGGGGAATTTTCAGTACGTTATAAGGTGGTGAAAGTTTGGAATTTAAAAATGACATTATAGAAACACTAGATAGATGGATACTCATAGGTCAGATTGTAGCCGACTGGTAAGTGAAAAAAATAATAATGAGCCGTGTCACGACAAAACCAACATAATGGGTTTGCTACCAGCATGGATCCAGACCAGCCTGCGCATCCGCGCAGTCTGATCAGGACCCATGCTGTTCGCTTACCAACCCTAATACAAGTAGAGAAACTGATAGCGAACAGCATGGATCCTGATCAGACTACGCGGATGCGCAGGCTGGTCTGGATCCATGCTGGTCGCAAACCCATTATGTTGGTTTTGTCATGGCACGGCTCAATTTTGTGTTCATCAGCAATATATCTGGTTAATCTAATTTTATATGAAAATACGTTGTAAAATATTATTGTAAATTATTTGATGTTATTTTGCTCCTAGCATTAGGCACGGGACTGCTATATAATAGACATGGTTTCAAGATTATTAATTAAACGTTTGTAACACATTGTCTAGGATGTTGTTTTGTTGTTTTTTTTTGTATAATTTTCTTTTCTCGAGACTTCTTAAAACATAACTTTAGATTAATGTCGTGTAATTCAACATTTACATAAATTTGACTGTAATAAAATGTCTTCGAACTTTTTCTCAGCAGAATTTTTTTACATTAGCTCTGACCAGCTAACCTGTCTGAACTTTTGATGATGTAGTAAGAATTGAATAAATAACTGAATTATTGGTACCTTGTACAAAATACATATATTGTCAAAATTCCTCTTATCCTTAAAGTGAATTACTTATTACTAATCTAAATACTAATTTAAAACAATCATAATATTATTTCATAACTTATTGAATTAAAAGATTCTTTACTATGGGTGCTTATGTTTATATCTGTAAGTGAATGAAAGTTAGTCTATTCAACTAGATATGAAAGTTTACAATGAAAGTTTTTACGGTCATGGCTCAGACAATGCTTATTTCTTTCATGAAACCGCACAAACCTTAGTACAATGTAAATAATTTCATGTGTAGAAAAATCGTCCCTCGTTTGTATCAATGATTTTGTTGCATGTTAAAAGGGGTATCTGAACAATTTGCAGTTTGTACAAATACCTTATATAATTTATAATCGTAGTACGAAAATCTATGTGATAACTATGACAATCTATGTATATAAAATTGTAAGATTTTCAGTGGTTAAAACTGCTCTTAAATATATGATATCTTGTCAATATCTAGAAAGTTACAATTGAGATGTTGTGGCTATGTCTTTTTGTTCCATTCAGAAAGTATGTACATGCTCATGGGTTTTCATATTATTTGATATTATATTCAAACATTTACTGTCCATGTAAATGACAAGCTGTTATGCAATGTGTTTTCCTTGACCTTGAGTTGGTTATTATACATGTCGCTTTTCTACCATTAATAGAACTTCATAAGGGGTTCACTTCACCCTTAAAATATCCAGCTTCACCGAAATATCTCTCAAACCTGAACATCACTACCACCCTTCCTCAACAACGACCCTTCCTCAACCACGACCCTTCCTCAACCACCACCCTTCCTCAACCACGACCCTTCCTCAACCACCACCCTTCCTCAACCACGACCCTTCCTCAACCACCACCCTTTCTCAACCACCACCCTGTCTCTCTTACCTGAAATACATACTTATCTCCCTTACCGGTAACCATTTAGAATAATATAATCAAATATTCAAGATATTCTTTCCTTAATTTATTTCTTTACAAACGAAACACGTACATTTCTTTTTCTTTTTTCAAATCATTACAAATGCTCCAAATTAAATCGTGACGACAAATAAAAAATATAAACTACACGTTTGAGAAATGACATTTGATCTTGAAGTGGGATTTAAATTATTACATTTTTCTCGTCTTTAGAAGACGATTTTCTGAATAGAGTATTTATCTGGATACATCTGAATGGATGTGTCATACTTGATTTGGCCATTACTCAAACCCGTCAGTATCTACTTGTAACTTAGCACACGATCTGGATTTGTGTTTGAGAAAGATAAGTGTAACGTGATATTGACGTATTCATGTTTATAGTTTTAATAGCACGGTATTTATGTGAACGCTTTAAAGTCAATATTACCTTTACAAAGAATTATTTCAAATATTCAATAGTTTTACAGATATTGCGGCGTTTGAAATACATGACCTTGATGTACCTCTTTTTCTTTTATTCGTTTTAGAATTATTATAAATGCAAACTGCATATAGAGAATAAATTTTGTATCATTTTTTATCTGTCTTTATTGCATTTTATTGGCATTTTATTGAGATAATTAAATCTTTATTTGATTCTATTAAAAATTGATTTAGGCATTGATAGCTGCACATTTTAAAAACGAAATTGAGCATGACAAGTAAGAAAAAATATAACATGCATTGCAAAATAACTCCCCATAGAGAAAATACAAAATTATTTAACACGTTTGCCATTTCTAAAGAATTGAAAAAAAATGGATTTCTGAGGCATAATGTGAATTAAGGAAGGTTTTTAGGAATGCATTTGGCACTTAACAATTGCTCATGTTTTACAAACATATTTCTTGCATACCGGCATATTGAAATAGTTATTTAAGATAAAAACAAACAAAAAATTAAACTGCATGCAGCAAAGATATATACTTTTATACACTTTAAGTCTTAAAACTCTGTTATGTACTTTATTTTAACTTTAGAATCTACCTAAAATAGGAAGCGGATCGTAGGGTGTCTGTTTATTTAAGCTTGCAGTTCTTTAAGAGTGTGTTCGTTGCCAACTTATGCACAGTTTGTTTTGCAAAACAAACAGAAATGTTTCAAGCTTTTTATACTACTTAACAGCTGTTTTATTTCGATGATTCACAATACCAACATTCAAAGTGTTGTAATATTGTGTTTAATTTGAATTTTGTAGAGAAATTTCATTAATCCAAAAGTACTGCAATTATATAGGTCAGGTTAATCCGATTTTATTTTTAAACCCTCAAAATTTATATTAATTCTTAAAGATCTATAAATGCATAAATCTAAAATAAAAACAAGGTAATTAATTGTGCACCGTGGGAGTGCTTTAAGTTTATAAATATTAACCAATATGTAAATAATCCTGTTTTCTCTTTTTGAACGAAAAAATATTTCTCGGATGCATGTGTTGTGTATAACATATTTAGATAATGGCATATATTGTCCTCCGCATGAGGAGAAGTTGAACGTTTTTTTGGGGGAAAACAGGTTAGCATCGGTGCATAATTGAATTAAGTTTTCTCAAAAGAAAAACTGATCTCTAACTGTCCTATGACATAAAGACGAACTTTTTTCGGGGGTGGGGGTGGGGTGGGGGTATGGCGACAAAGTGACCTGGTGAGCTTTTGTGATCCCTTTTCGTCCGGTGTCCGCCCGGCGTCCGTCCGGCGTCCGTCCGTAAATTTTTACTTTAAACGACATCTCCTCATAAACCGCTAAGCCAATTTCATCCAAACTTCACAGGAATGTTCCTTTGGTAGTCAACTTCAAAAATTGTTTAAAGAATTTAATTCCAAGCAAAACTCTGGTTGCCATGGCAACCGAAAGAAAAATACTTAAAATATCTTCTTAGAAAACCGAAAGAGCTAGAGCTTAAATGTTGGCATGAAACATCATCTAGTCAGTGTCTACCAAGTTTGTTCAAATAAATGCCCTAGGGTGAAAATTGGCCCCGCCCCCGGGGGGGATCATTAATTATTCTTATTTAAATATAGTTAAAACATACAAAATCTTCTTTTAAAGAACCCAAATAGCTAGAGCTTAGATATTTAGCATGAAACATCTTCTAGTGGGTGTCTACTAAGTTTGTTCAAATAAAAGCCCTTGGGTAAAAATTGGCCCCGCCCCAGGGGGTCATTGATTTTCCCTTTATGTATGTAGTAAAAACTTAAAAAATCTTCTTTTGAAAACCTCATAGATATTTAGTATGAAACATCTTCTTATGGGTGTCTACAAAGTTTGTTCAAATAAGGACCCTTGGGTTAAAATTGGCCCCGCTCCGGGGGTCATTGATTTTCCTTATATATGTATAGTTAAAAAAAAAGAATCTTTTCTGTGAAGTAGTCCCGAAGAATTTTTCTACGCCAACATTCAAATGACCTTCATTATGAATTATTATTGCTCCTTATCTAGGATATTAAAATATTTGCTCAGTCATTATATTTACATAACGTGTAGAAGAGATGGGTTATAATATATCAGGTATCACAATAAACCCTTCAATTATGTTAGCCCAAGTTATCAATTAACCATGATGTGGCCCATAAAACCCACTAAGATAGAGTTCCTTGTGACGTTTTAGTGTCATTGTTGGTCTAAGACTTTGCTATATAAAACTATGCTAAATCAATATATACAAAAAAAAATATAGCCCTGGTTGCTATCGTCCGATCGTCCAATATGACACCGAATTTTGTCACCCCAGTACGTGGTGTATAAATGTAGAATACTGGAATAACCAACTTAATATTAACCGTAATAGGCTCACCACTTGAAATGAAGTCGTGATAGGCCTTATTAATACCCTAATCATTTTTATGTAACACTGATAATCTGTGGTTTATCTTTGATCATTTTACAACTGATTGATTTAATATTACAATCTAGCTTTCATAACATTAAACAAAATGTTAAGAAAGCAAAAAAGTAAGAATTTTTAGGAATGAATAATACTATATATTTAGCCATAACTTCACGTATGACAACTTTTATTTCTTTATACTTTGGTCTTTTTACCTTGTAACTAAGTAAATAAATATTTGGAATAAATAAAATCAATTTATATTTTTTTTTTAATTTTCCGATAGTATAAAAGTTTACGGCGTTTAGCTATGGTTGATCGGTTTTGAGTTATTACAGATTTTCAAAACTAAAATAAAAATAAACACAAAATGTACGGTAAAATGAATGGTTTAATGGTTAAGCAGAGTTACTTTTTGATAACATAGTTTAAACCATTACTGACAGAAAATTGAACTTTCATAACAAATATAAACCACCTTCCTAGATAATCTAGATAGAAAGATGGTCCTATTTGTTCATTAATATACATAATTATTTAACTCAATAGAAATACCATTTTCAAAAAATGTAAGTAAGGCAGGTTAGAAAGAATGTGGGTATGTACCTTATTGAGAAAGTAAGTTTTCATCACGTGATGATACGACGTTATGAATCATTAACTAAATTATTCTATTGGAGTAAAGCTATTTCAAATTGCATTGATCTATATGTGACCGACATTAAATTTCAAAACCACAATTTAAATCATCTGTTAAAATTTACATTAAATACACATTCATTAATTCGAATTCAGACAAGATGTATTTATCTCTCGTAAGGAAGAATAAAAAAAAAAGTTCATGTTTGCCTTTCTGTTCGATTAATTGATCCTTGGTGTTTTCGGTTTTCTTCGTATGGCTTTCTTTATAAGCTTTTTAATCCCGCATGTCTTTCTGTAAAGCTATCGATCAAATGTAGTTGAGATTGTTTCATAAAGTCCTTAAGGGTTGCTTAGATCTTTAACGGGTAATTGAGAAATGTTGAACTTTGCGGAGATTTATACCGTACCGTGGTCTATATTTATCGTTGTCGTCTCTGCGGCGTTCTGAAGTATCTTGTCCGCACGCAACAAGCTAATCGGAAACTCTTAATCCTTGAGAAACAAAAACACAAAACTTCATTGTAAAACAAGCTTCCTGATAAAATCCTTTATAGTAAGTGTTGTTGTCCTTAAGTTTATTTGTCAGGGTATCTGTGATCAGGTTTCAAAACGCCTTTATCTATGTCAAACACTGGTTTTATTGTGTCATTAACGTGCCAAAATTTGTTTCACATCGGGTATGTTATATCTAACGATTGTCTTACTAGGTGTATTTGTCAAGAATTCGTCTTCTACATCTGTTTTTGTTGTTGTTGTTTTTATTCTGTCGGAAAATTAATGTAATACAATGCGTTTCAATAATCAATATCCATTCATCGGTAGTTCTTTAGTTCCTGTATATAAAATGGTTGGATCTAGAACAGACCAACTTTCTGTAACACAGCTCATGTCTATATTTACTATCTGTTATTCATTGAGTGAAGATGGTTAAACGTGGGATCCTTTTGTAATATGAAAATGAACATATTATAAAATGCACAAAATAAATATATTATAAAAACAAACGCATTGTACATGAGGATTCATATGATCGTTTAATAGATATATAACATACTAAATTATACTCATTAATATGACACTAGTTCTACATTAAACATTTTGGCCAAACTTACACTTTAATGAAGCAGTCGATACTCATAGGGCATTATAGCTGTTTATTGCACTGTCCTCAAAAACACCAAATACAGTACCCTCAAAAACACCAAATGCACTCTCCAAAACACCAAATGCACTGCCCTTCAAAACACCAAATGCACTGCCCTTCAAAACAACAAAATGTACGAAACACCAAATGTACTGCCTTCCAAAACACCAAATGCACTGCCCTCAAAAAACACCAATGCACTGCCCTCCAAAACACCAAATTGCACTGTCTTCCAAAACACCAAATGCACTGCCCTCCAAAACGCCAAATGCACTCTCCAAAACACTAAATGCACTGCCCTTCAAAAAAAAACCCCAAAAAACCCCAAACAAACAAACAAAAATAACAAATGCACTGTCCTTCAAAACATCAAATGCTCTGCCCCCCAAAACATCAAATGCTCTACCCTTCAAAACACCGAAGACACTGCCCTCCAAAACGCAAAAATGCACTGCCAAATGCACTGCCCTCAAATACACAAAAGAATTGACACACTTATATAGACGACCATACGGGTATACATAAACACTATAATGAAATATACCTTTTAACGCTTTCTATTTTCTTTTCAGAGCGGAGATGACACGGCTAGACAGCCTGCCCTGTTTGCCGCCGACGTCCGTGCTGGTCTGCAGAGGGCTTACCTTGAAGGCATAGAGTATATGCGACTAAAGATCAAAGAAACAGAAGAGGAACTTACACAGATAAAGTTGAGCTTTTATCAATGTGAGGAAGCAGATGATGAAAACTATGAGAACTATCTGGTACAGTGTAACGAGCAATTTCTACAAGCAAACAACGATCTACGGAGAAAGAACGTTAAGTTAAAAGTAATCGACAGTGAGATGGAACTGGTTTCACTGTTAAACCAACTTCGGGACAAAATGGAAGTTGACAAAGGCGAGATAGCGTTCTTGTCGGAATTCTGGGAGAACTTGAAGAGTACGATGGAAAGTGTGAAGGTACTTGTGAATAAGTTCAAAACAAGTGTCGTAGATCGTTTGCGTGGAAACTGTATTAGTTATAACAATGGGGATATTCACTTGGATGTGTCGGAAAGATACACTAAAGAAATTAAAAATTATCTGGAAGAGCTAGAGCTACAACTTGAAAATACATTACAACTTATTCAAAGTTTTGCTAATGGAATACACCAGGATTTATTCTCCCATACGAAATTCACGGAAGGTATTCTTGTGGCATGTGATCTCAAAGCCTTCCCGATACTTCGACTATTTCCGGATCTTACGGAAAAAGTCGAGGCAATGTGCTCAACGGCATTTGTTTGGTTAGACCGGGACGAACGCTATATGTACGAAATCAACGATTACATACGAGAAACTAGAACAATGACAAAGAAACGAGTAGAAGACCTAAAGGTCCAGAAGGAGAAAATGAAGAAATTCGAAAAAGCCGTGAAATCAGCAAATATTATGTTACATAATAACAAAGAAAAACTTCAGAAATTGGAATCGGATCTTAATCAGTTAGAGCTTACATTTAATGCATATAAACAGCAAATGAACTCAAAGTGTGGGGAAAAGTCTCAGAAGGAAAGTATGGTAGATTTTCTAAAAATAACTCTATCTCAAACGAAGAAGAACTACAACTTACAACTGAAGAGACAGAGGTTGTTAAAGCAGGTGGAATCATTGGAAGACTTTTTGAAAAGTCTTGAACGGGATTTAAGTAGTGTTCAAACTAAAATACAAGAGAAAGCACAACAGAAAGACATATTGGCAGTGAAACTAGAGACCAATGAAAAGTCCTACGGTGCCCTGAAAACTGATCTTGAAAGTTTTACTGACAACCTAGACAAACTTGAGCAAGAAGTTAACGGACTATCAGGACAGTTGTTACAGCTGGAAATTATTCAGACTTTTAAATCTTCTCCAGAGAACATAGATGGAGTGTTTGATCGGCCACAATCTGTGAAACTAGCCCCTTCTCTCAAAGAGAAAATCAAGAGAAAAAGAAAAATAATGCCCCCTGTTCATTGATGTTAACATTGAAATACCGGCAATTGTTTGATATTTAGAATATTGGACCGATTACATCACAAAGCATGTCAGAAAATGGTTTACCATCGCATAAACTGATGTGTTTAAACTCCACAAAAGTTATTTTCTAAGTGGACCGAATAAATGGCAACCCTTTAACTTGAGAAAAAGTTTCTGTAACACATGCATACTAAATACCATAGAGTAGTTTTAGTTAAGATTTAACAGTTGTGAGTCAAATCATCAAAATGGAAAAAAACTGCGGGGGAAAAATGTGTGCTCATTATTGCATGTGCAAATGTTTTTAAGCAGAAAAATGAGATAACCTTATTATAAATGCCACAAAGTCTTCCGTTCGAAACAGCTACTCCAAACTGATATCATTTCTGATTTATTACCGCCGATAAAATATGCTGTAAATTAGACAGAAGACATAGCTTATACAGCAAAACAAAGATACGAGGTATAAATTAACAAGCACATGTTACGAAATGTTACGGACTTTTCAAGGACAGTCAAAGACTTTAATTTTTGTATTTAAGATGTTAAGAACTTTGACTGATACAAAAAATACATGGACTTTTTTAATGCAATGAGCCAAAACAACATTCGGTTTCTTTTTTATTACGTGATCGACATTGCAAGCGGAAGTACGAAAGTAAGGCATCTAAATAAATATGCCGGCCATTTGTTAAACATTTCACACATTACCTTCCTTGTTACCGTAGGAAAAGTAGTTCATTTTTAAAGCCTCTTATTTAGTATGGATATTTTCGAAAATCATTCTTTAAAAACATGTAATTTTAGTTAAAGAAACTTATAGATACAATGTGTATTGCATTTGAAGTGAAAAGAATATTGCATATGTAGTGAACAGAGTTTCCTTATTTCCGACAATTTCTATTCTATAACGTTAGTAACAGAATATGAACTATATCTCCATATTTTGACATTTTATAGATGATTTCTGTTGACAGAAAATGTCTAAGGCTAGCTAAAATACCTTTACTAATTACATTATCTTTTGAATTTTTACAAAATTCAGACATAATGCTTATTTCGTCGCTGTCAAGTTGAGCTGTAAAACTATTATAATTATGTTTGACAAATAATTTTAAATGACAAATGTTTAGGACAAAACGTAGAAGCTGCCTGAAAATAAAAAAGACTGCCCTACTATTTTTACCAGTTAAACGTTTACAAGAAATCCTAAAAAATATATATAAGATTTCAGCGGGTTAAATGGCTTATTTATTGATAATTCATACAAAGATTATGTGTACCAATCATGGTAATAGTAAAAATATTTTGACTCACTTGGGAGGGGCGTTATATGTCTCTAAAGCCCTTTTTTTACCTGCTGAAACCGGAAGTTAAAAGCCTTTGCCACAAGTAAATGAAAAAGTCCGAATACAGTTGTTTGACCAACTTTAATTTTTTCATTTTGATATCTCCTATATTTGATTTTGGAAAGTTCCAAAAATAGATCCTGGACAAGTCCATTATAGAAAATCAGTATGTTAAAGTGGATTGGTCTACAATGGGTGCATTTTTCATAACTATTTCAAATATTGATGAAAACAATAGAAATATATCATTTGGATATTCTTATGAAATGTGGCTTGCAAAAAAATTAGATAAAGTTCTAAGTGATGTACGTAGACTGAACATTTTTATGAGGAAAAATATTTCGTGCTTTCTTGTTATGTCTGATACTAGCAAAGTGATTATTCATTGTATTACAGACCTTTCATTACTGACCAATTCACTTTAAGGGCAGACCAATTCACTTAAAGGGCAGACCAATTCACTTTAAGGGCAGACCAATTCACTTTAAGGGCAGACCAATTCACTTTAAGGGTAAACATAAATGTGGAGGCGTACTGCTCCAAAGGTGGAGCATTTATTGTAGAATGTTTGTAACTTAAGTCATGCTTTGTTAACTACGCAGTTTCATTTGCACCGTCCTTTTATTACTGGCAAAACATTTCGCAAATCGCTTTATTTTGACAAAACATGTTTTGATTTAACATGTTGAAATCACTCGAAAATGTCGTTTTGTATTATGTGTTAAATAGTTATTTTTTATTTTCTTTTATCTGTTGAAATTTGATTCCTAGTCTGCCAAAGTTATTTATTTGACAAAACCATTTATGTGACAAAGTGTTTGAAAACAATCATTTCTCCAGCTAGTTAACTTCCTTGTTATCAGTACGATTATCATAATGATAAATGAAAACTTCTTGTTGTCAATTCTTGTATTGTGCACGCGTAAAATTTTCGCGTGAATTCTCGCGTTATTATACGGTTATAAGTCTAGTGAAAAAATAATACTTGGTTGTTACTACAGTTAACGTTTCTGGCTCGCATATTTCTGATGCATACGCGAGTTTCATTTTCATTATCTTTGTTTTTCATTTTTTTCATACTGTTGATCTTAAAACAAATTTGTATTTAAAAAAAAGCTTCTTAATTATTGAATTATTTTCAGACAGTTATATATTATTTTTTTTTTATTTTTATGATTCATCTGGAATTGATTTATTTGGTTGAACTGAATAAAGTATGTTTACAATGTTCATGGTGTGTGCTTGGGTTTGGGCGCCCTCTGTTGTTTAATTTTGGTGACTGAAATGCGCATCTCCGGTATTTATCAATGAAAACAAAACAAAAAACAACAACAACAATCGAATGTAACTTATACAGAATTAAAAAAAACATACATTATACATCATTATTTTAAATCATTATATATTAATATGTTCAATGATATAGTAGAAAAGTCCAGTGTACGCCTGAATCCGACACACATAAATGTGTGTATGTGTTTGAACTAGAGTGTGTAAATTGTGTGTATGTTTTAAGTTATATACTGTGTCTCATACCTCAGAAAAAAATATACGCAAGTTGATACAGATATTTGTGTTTCTTTTTTCTCTCTTTTACTTCAAGTAGAACATTTTGTTAATTCTAAAATTGATAGTAACATATGGTACGCTTTTTCTTCTTATTGAAAGAAGTCCTTTGTTCACAAAAAAAAAAATAAAAAAATACAACAACAAAAACTCGAGAGTAAAAGCCATAATAATAATTCATTTTTCTCTATGATTTATAGAAACAATGAATTGACATTTGACAGCAAAAAAGGTTTAGGCATTCTAAGATGAGTTTTAAGAGTACACGTAAATCCGCGTAATACTGATCCAAATATTGGTTGTTTTTTAATTTGTTTGGGAAAAACATGAAATGCATGCTGTAGCCTTTATCAACAGATTTCTTACTGCGAAGCTCCACTGGAAATAAACTAGAAAACAAATGTCATGTTATTTTATATTCATCGCAAGTAATTACCAAACTTGTTAACATCCACAAACAAATTCATGTAAAAAAACCGTATGTTGTTTTAAAGAGTTACTATCAATGGTTCAGATACCATTGCTATTGAACTAGGCATATGATAAATTGCTATTGAACTAGGCATATGCAACATTGCTAATGAACTAGGCATATGATAAATTGCTATTGAACTAGGCATATGCAACATTGCTATTGAACTAGGCATATGATAAATTGCTATTAAACTAGGCATATGCAACATTGCTAATGAACTAGGCATATGATAAATTGCTATTGAACTAGGCATATGCAACATTGCTATTGAACTAGGCATATGCTACATTGCTATTGAACTAGGCATATGCTACATTGCTATTGAACTAGGCATATGCAACATTGCTATTGAACTAGGCATATGCTTCACTGCTATTGAACTAAGCATATGCTACATTGCTATTGAACTAGGCATATGCAACATTGCTATTGAACTAGGCATATGCTACATTGCTATTGAACTAGGCATATGATAAATTGCTATTAAACTAGGCATATGCAACATTGCTAATGAACTAGGCATATGATAAATTGCTATTGAACTAGGCATATGCAACATTGCTATTGAACTAGGCATATGCTTCACTGCTATTGAACTTGGCATATGCTACATTGCTATTGAACTAGGCATATGCTACATTGCTATTGAACTACGCATATGCTTCACTGCTATTGAACTAGGCATTTGCTTCACTGCTATTGAACTAGATATATGCTACATTGCTATTGAATTAGGCATATGATATACATTGCTACTGAACTAGGCACATGATATACATTGCTATTGAACTAGGTATATGCTACATTGCTATTGAACTAGGCATATGCTACATTGCTATTGAACTAGGCATATGCTGCATTGCTATTGAACTAGGCATTTCCTACATTGCTATTGAATTAGGCATATGATATGCATTGCTACTGAACTAGGCACATGATATACATTGCTATTGAACTAGGTATATGCTACATTGCTATTGAACTAGGCATATGCATCATTGCTATTGAAGACGGGATCGGAAATCCTTGCTATTGATCTGGAGGTTTATAACAGTTATCGGATATTCTTGCTATTGAACTAGAAAACGACTTCAAACTTGAGAACGTATACATTTGCTTCGGGCACATTGTATATGAACTGAGTTCGGATATTCTTGCTTTTGAACTAGGAATCCACTTCGAACTTGAGAACGTATACATTTGCTATTATGTTCGGCATCGGGCACATTTGTTAATGAACTGAGGTCGGATATTCTTGCTATTGAACTAGGAATTTAAATCAAAATATCAAGATAAAGATATAATTATTATCTAAATATCGACTGACAATTCTGTTGGTCTAAGAGTTCATACTTCTGCCATTAAACTGAACCGTGGCGAGGCTAACCTTGCATTTAACCTAAGGCAGGATACCTTAGTTATTTCTGTAGATAAATACTTTAAACTAGGGGCAAGAAGATTTTGGTATTAAAAGGGAACGGGCACCCATACTATTTAACTACACGTGGGATACTTTAATAGTCTATAGCTGTTGTAATAGAGAAGTGATATCTATTTGATGAATGGAGTGTGGGGTTGGGAAGGTGATGTGGGAGGGGGGGGGGGGGGGAGATTAAAATTTCGTCCGACAACAAAAATCCTATCTATAAGAAATAAACGCTAATATAATTCTTTAACTCCTAGCCACTTGTTCAACTTTAACTTTGTAATCCTACAGTCGATATCGTTTTAGTACCTCTGACCATTCGATAAGATGTAAACAAACCAATAAAACAAGGTCAGTCACTTGGAAGCAACATGTAAATAAAGGAATGAAGAAAGCACGTGACTCTACTGTTTACACTTGCCTGCGTCAGAAGTTCAAGGGGGTAGGGATTCTAATCAGAATGAATGGTATCTATAAAAAGAACGTGTGTGTATTGGCAATCATTAGTTATAAATCAATAGCTTATTATAGATACAATATGATAAATTAGAATGACTTCTGATAAATACAAGTTAACTTGTTCTATAAACAGTTCTCTACGTTTATACTAGTGATTTAAAGTTTTTCATTTTATGTGTATAATCAAGAATTGACTTAAAAAGGAATTTTTACATTCTGGCGAAAGGCAAAATCTATAAAAACACAGTCACGCTTTTAAAGGGACGCTGAGTGATATTAACACTAGCAACTTTCTTACTTTTATACTGGAGAGATTAACAATACAATGATAATAAAAAGAAACTTAAACGAGCAGTTTAGAAAATATATGCATGTACTTAATTGCTTTCATTTCCAACTTGTATCGATGTAATTAATGTGGTCAATGGGGGCTTTTGTCCTACCTGTATTTTTGATGGGAGGGGATAGGGTTGCTTTTGTCCTGTGTGTAAATTTCATTGGCTTTAATTAACACTAATATGGTGACGTTCAAGCTTTGCTGATAATGAAGACATCAGGTGCCATTCCGTGTATTATTTCAGTGGCAAGGAGGTACCTTATTAGAACCATCGACCTTCCGTAAGCTAACTGGACAATTTTCTCAAAGGAAATAATCGAAATCCTCGACGGAATCGGATCCACAGCAGTGAGGGAGTTAAGGTCAACTCGGCACCAGAGTAGAACCAACGACATTCCGTAAGTAAGCTAGCTGGACAATTTTTTTGAAATGAAATATTCATCCACAATCCACAACAGTGAGGGATCAGAGATTTAAGGTCTTCTCGGTCACGGAGGCCCTGCTTACCAAATTCAAATGGTAACAAAACAAATATCTGTTGATTTCTTTTTTCTGAAGGAGATAAATAACAACAAAAGTCTGCACATATAATGATGTAATGGTTTAATTCCTTTAGAATGAACTAATGAACACCCATTTGCAAGAAGAACTAAAATTAATTCAGGCATTAATAAGGAACACGATATATAAAACAATAACAATATTACAAAATGAGTGGACAAAAATAATGATGTTACAGTTAATGAGTTATTTACAACTGATTTTATTTCTGTATTTTCTCTAAACAAGATATGATGAGAGAAATAATTTCATTTTTTTTTTCTTGTTAAAAAGAATTACAATTATCAAACAGATCCTGAGAAAAAAATATTCAAGACACTGTTTCCTCAGTGCCTTAATAATCAAATGAAAGGAAACTATAATATAACTACTTGACTGCATATTGTAACAAAACTTTTATCAGAATAGGTTGCTTCTCCTGCAGGAAATACATCTTACAAAACACATTTGTGCACAATTAACTTAAAATTTGTAGTAAGATTGAAATTTTAAGCCTATTAATAAACAATACAACTAAATTTCTTATATTTCATGTATATTGAGAAAATACTGTTATACATTTTTCTTTTTTATCCTTTAGTATAAATTCTTTATCTTACCTATATAACCTTCATCAGACAACCGAATCATTTTGAAATAATTATCAAATACCGACTTCATAATAAATGATTAAGGAAAATGTCACATTAACAGTGTTTTACTTTGACATTACATAATTATCTTAATATGGAAGAAAAATAAACTGTATTTTACAAACTTTCAACTCTCAAATGTCACAACTATCTCAATGATTATAACATGATTGTGTTTGTTTGTTTCATTTTACGCCTTTTTCCAAGAGTATTTCAGTCATATAGGTGGGTAGTTTCCTAACCATCGTTCCTGGAGGGTTACACCAGTACTAGACTACCTTCCTCAGCACTAAACTTTAAAAGCATTTTCCGGGGATCAAACCCACGCCAGAGAGGTAACTGGATAAGAAGTCATCAACTCTAACCCCTCGACCACGGAGGCGGTTTTATAACATGCAATCTCCAGACAGTGTGAATCATTCATTACATGGAGGCCTATAGTTATTTGGTAGGATCAAGTTTCTCCAGCTTATATTGTAGACTTCCTGGTGCCCAGTTACCTGTGCAGAATCACCTAAATGGAAGTCAACCAGGTGCCCTGTTACCTGGGTAGAAACAACTAGGTAGAACCTACTACTTCCTGGTACCCAGTTACCTATGCAGAATCATCTAGATGGAAGTCAACCAGGTGCCCAGTTATCTGGAACCCTCAAACATCTGGGTAGAAACACCAAGGTTCTACAAACTGACAGCCAGGAACCAATCCACCGGGGTAGTGCCACCTAGGTCAAACATTGTGTTGTAGAGTAAGTGATCCAGTTATCTTACTACCCAGGATTTATCTTAATTCTGCACTGTTTTTATCTTTTCATATATACAAATAGTGACAGTATCAGTATAACACAGGTTTAAACACGCCAATAACAGCCACACTACAAGTTTAAATAAAGCAGCAAAACAATTTACATCTCTTGATAATTACCACATTCAGGAACTAAATCATACAAAACGTAAATGTTTGTTTCTTCTTTCAACCATATTTATTTAATGTAGAAAAAAAGTCAAGTCTAGTAATTCATAATTCCCTTATTGACCATGGCATGGGTGTCATCTTTCCTTCAAAGTTGAACTTAAGATACAAAAATAAAATTAAATTTATAGACAAAATTTGATTATTTAGAAGAAATTCCTAAAAAAAAGAGAGAAAAAAAAAAACAATTACGAAGGAAAGCATGTTGAAATATAATTTTATGACACAAAACCATGACATTTGACACTGTATTACTTATTTATACATATCAGACAATTCTAAATAAAAACTCATATTCTTTATGAATACTCAGAGTAAACAAACAGAATAAATAAAACTATTGTTTAACAACAAAATCATGCTTTCCAAATTTAAAGTAAAACTTATATTTAACATACTATTAAAATTTTTGAACTAAATTTCATACCTGGAACCAGCGGGAAATTAATCAGACAAATGCAACATTTATTTATTTTTAACCTCATAAAAAAAGCAAATCCTAAATTAGTAAAAACACGGACCTTGAATTAAGGAAAATTGAGTGTCAATGAAAATACAGCAAAAGTAAAAAGCACACCCCTGTTAAAGCCTCACTTTCACTGACACTCACATTTTGGTTGTTATCAAACTCCCAACATTTCCAGTGTAAGAAATTCAGATTTGAAACCACTAGGCCGGTCAGACTACCAGATTAGAATATTCACTAGCCCAAAAGACATTCCACTAGCACAATTCATTTGTTCAAAACATTTGTTTATATTGCCACTGAAAATACAGTAGCCTGGTCGGACTTGTTACTGTGAAAAACTGGTAGCCCGTGGAGAAATGTAGTAGTCTGGGGCTATAGGACTACAGCTAATTTCGAACACTGCATTTCATACACACAAAATCTGTTACAACAGCTTTCCAACTGAAAAAAGACTTGGTCCAGTAGTGACACATTGATTTTTTTAACTGCACTCGAGTCAAACAATAAATTTCATCACAAAAATTTTAAATAAAAGATCATGTAAAGAAATGAGCTTAAATGAGTACATTAATAAACAGTCAATTATTACATGAAACATATTATATGTACACACACAAAAAAAATAGAATAAAAACAATGACATCTGATAAAAAGAATAATGGGTTACAAAAAAAAAATCAAAAAAGTATTTTATGCCTCATCGTCGAGACGTTGCATTTGTTCTAATGTAATATTTGATTCTTTTTAAAATCTTAACAAAATAGATGAAGTGCCTTAAATTTTATGATACATGATTAGATTTTTTCGTTACAAAAAAGGTCAAGGTCAAATATCTTCATGACGATCCGAGATTCTGGAAATAAACTTCCAAGTCAAGGACATTTATAATTATCCACCTTGCTTAAAGAAGCATGATCACCAAGGAAAATTATTATTTTATATTCTTTGTACTTCTAGTTTTTGTTTCCTCTTTTATTTTACTGTGTCTGTGAAGTTTAACACAAATACCTACATTATATGTACTTATGTGTATATATGTAAGAATATGTATTGCTGATTTAACAGACACATTTAATGATGAACACAAACATCTAATGGCTGGTCTGCAGTTCACATGCACTATTAACCTAGTTTTAAAATCCTGAATAGTACATGATTAAAACAACTTATTCAAGCACTTTGGGGCCAGAACATGTGAATGATCTCCCTTGTCAGACATTTTAAATGACTAAAGTTCTCCGCAGACACTTCGCTGCTGGCTTCAGATGTAGGAGTACACACTGCCAGTTTTTCAGACCAACAATATTTTACAACTCGAGATAAATCTTGTCTGAACAATCATACTTTATTTTTTCTTCCCTTTAGCAACAGCGGCTTTCTTGGTCTGGAAAAAAAAGCAGGCAGTTAAGAAAATGTATATTTTTGAATATATAGCTTCTATATGTTGGTAAATTAGAGTGATATCAACTGTACAATTTCAATCGCAACCAGACATTTACTGTTACGACAGTCGAGCCTTTTCCAAGTGTTACCACTGATCAGATTACCAGACCCTTTACAAATATGCTTGCATTTTTTCCAGTCCTAACCAAACTGAAATTTCCAGTATCCAAACTGACAAATTTGCTGTACAATGTATCATTACAGACAGATGTATTGTCAAATTTTTATTGTATTTGTTATGTTTTGGTTGATATTTTGTAATGACTGAAACAAACAATGTCGCACAATTTTAAATACATCAAAATACCCTGAAAAGAGCTTGGAAAAGGTATCAAATTAAACAATCTTAAAAAGCAAAATTTCCTCAACTGGACAAGAAACTCTTTCCTAAAATGGTAAGGAAAAGGCCTGTGAGCTTTGCAACATAGCACAGAAAAACAATCGAGGTTCAAGTTGATAGATGAAATGATTTAAAGTAAACAATTTAATTATGGTAAGTAAAACCCAACGGAAATCAAAGTTAAGAGATAAAAGTAGGGTTTCAGAAATTCTTAAGATTTACTTCTTTTCCTAAAGTTCCTTTTTTGATGATTCTGGCTAGTGCAGAGGCTTTCTTGGTGTCTGTATCTGACCCCGTTGTACCATTTGCCAAAGGTTTTGCACGACGCCTGAAATATATTAATTATATATATGTACTACTTTAACTAATGTCACATTGACAAATCATGCCATGTCCTATAGGCAAAGATATTAATAAAATCTATGTGATATAATGTTTTATTATCTATGATGTTATCACAAATGAGGTTGTACAGATCTAATACACAGCAAATATGGGGTTTTCACATCTACTCCCGACTGTTGAAACTTCAAAGTGCACTAATGTTCACAATAGAGTGCATATTATAGATGTATCAACAAGTTGTAAATTTAAAGGTTTGATTAGATGGGGAAAAACCTACTTTAAACGAGTTTCAGAGTATTTCTATTCATGATTAGTGACAAATTAACATCAACTTAATACCAGAAATCATAATATCATTTTTTTTGTTGTTGGGCTTTACGTTGAACCTACACTATACAGGTCATATGGCAAGTTCCAAGCTTTACTGGTGGAGGAAGACCTCAGGTGCCCCTCCCTGCAGTATTTCTGGCACACAGGCACTGAGTAGTACAACCCCCATTTACCTCAGCTAGCTCACATGAAAGAATACAAAGTCCCTGGACAGAAGCCCTATTGTTGATTGTATGTTTGTCTTCACAAATACAGGTCTTATCTAAATTTTATGACTTCTCAGTTACCCATAATTATCCATTTCAAACAAAAAAAGTTTTGTGTTAAATATAACAAAGAGTAATTTTCTGAGGCAAATAACAGACCCTTTCATCTTGAGGAAGTAAACCAAATAACCTACAATTCTAAATGACCTTATCAAAATTATAGAAGAAACAAGATGAGAAGACTTACACATTTTTGTTCACAGTGACTGTAGCTTTTGCTGTAGGTTTAGGACTTTTGCCTGTCTGTTTTTTCTCAGCTGCTGATTTAGGAGATTGTGATGAAGTTTTACTGCTAGCTGAACTACGAGGAGATGATGCTGGTGATGTTGATGGAGATTTTACTTTTCCTTTAGCCCTTCATTAAATAAAATCAGTCATCAGTAATACAGTAGTAAGTTATTGGTGGTGGCGTTGGGTAGTTTTTACTCTGAATCATTGCAGCAAGCCACATTTAATTTATCAAAGCACAGTTCATTCACCGCATGGTTTCTGGGCAGGCTGTCATGCACTTTATTAGTACTAGTTGCCTTCACTTTCACAAGGAAATGATAACTTCTACCAGAGCAGAAGTACAGTGCAAATGACTGTAGAAAGGACTTCATGGTCAATGACAAAGAAAATGACCTTGACCGTCCAGGATTTGAACAATGGCCATCTGATTCACAGTCCAATGCTCTACCTATTAAGCTTACCTGACATTTCAATAGTTAATTATGTATGTTTAATTTATGTAGATATATTAACAGTTAGAAACTTGTCTTTTTGCATACACTTAATTGCTGTAACTGATAACAGAACTAAAAGTTAACAGTGTTTTAAATCAAGAAATTAATCACTTTAGCTTCTATTATACATATTTAAAGCAGTCGGATAAATAATTGATAATGGTATCCATAAACAGGTGTAATAAGTACATGATCACCCCTCTAATCAACATTCCAGTTGTAAAGCAAACAACATTCCTGTACTAAAACTGTAAACAATAAATTTGCCAACAAGAATATTGAGTTTGCATGAATACCTTTGACTTTTTCTGACAAAATGGACCTTAAAGAAAATGCAAACAAATGCCAACATCAGCAAAAGGGTCAAGACAATAGAAATTGACTGATAATTACCCTGCTTTAGCCTTGGCTGCAGCAGCCCCTCGTTTTGGTGTAGCTTTAGGTGCCGGTGAATTAGGGGCTTTAAAACTGTCTTGTGATGTCTCACTTGGCGTAGATGGGTTAGACTCCTCAGATTCTTCTTCTTCCTCCTCCTCCACTTCTTCAACTTCCTCCTCCTCCTCAACTTTCTTCCTACAATACAACAAACAGTTTGGTCTGAACCATAGATCTAAATAAAGGTCAAAGTTTACTTTCTTTCTTGTTTTTAATTGGCAATACCACAGCAGCTGATAACATTTTTCTTCTAAAAGTTCAATTATTGAGTTTCAAATGAATCAAACTCAGTGAAAATTGCAAAACATCTGTATTCATCATTTTTCTTAATTTTAATTTCCTCTTTGAAAGTTTATTTTTGTGCTTGTTAAAAATAACTTATAGGCTAGAACATATTGCAAGGATTCTCTTTGGTAGAACTTAGATAATAGCTTTATATCTGACTTTTAGTTTATACTTATTTATTCTAGTTTGACTGTGTTGGTAACTGTAAGCTTAATTGAAACACTCTCAAATCCATTCCTGGAACAAACCAGTACTAAGCAATGAATGTGAAGTTTTTTTGCTGAAGGAAACAACTGCTTGCCCTGACAGGGTTTGGACCCAGACTGCCAGTAAACCTTAGATCTATAGTCTGCCACTCTTTACTTTAGTTTTAATCATTGAAAAAAGAAAATCTCTATATTTACAGTTTTGTCTTACTTTTTTGAAGCAGCAACTTTCTTTCCAAGTTTAGGAGCAGGAACAGCATCTTTTTCAAGATTAAACTTTCTTTTCTTTGGTGACACTGACTCCTCACTTTCATCAGAATCACTATCTGGTGTTGCAGTCCTTTTTGCACCTTTACCCCCCTTATTTGCCCCATTCACAACCCCTTTCCCTTTCTTCTGTACACCCTTTTTCTCAGTTTGCCCTTTACTTTTATCTTTGGAGTCACTTGCACTTGATTTATCAGTAGTCTTTTTATTAGATTGCTGAGCTTTGAGTTTTTCAGCCTCTGCTACTGTACGTTTTAATATCCTCTTTTTAGGAGGTGGAGGAGTAGTATTTTCGGAATCTTGTGAACTACTGTCCTTCGCTTCCTGAGATGTATCCATATCTTCCTGTGAATCTTCACTATTAACTTCACTTGTGTCTTGTGAACTTTTAGCTGCTGCACGTTTGTTATTACCTGCAGTTTTTTTCCCTCTACCTCTGACAGGTTTAGTTTTAGTAGATGCCGACTGCTTGGACTCAGCACCGGACTCAGACCCTACTGATGAGGCCGTGTCCATATCGGCAGACTCACTGGCCTCGTCTTTATCATCTGTTGTTGCACTACGTGATCTTGACTTAGCCGGTTTTTTACTAGTAGGTTCCGATTCAACAGACTCTGTATCTTGTGATGATTCCTCCCTAAAATATATACAAAATCATAGCTTATTTTTATATGTAAAAGGCAAAACATGTGAAGACTACACATAAAGTATTGTACTTCACTGTCAATAACTTTTTTTATACATATAAGCTTTAAAAAAAAGAAAAGAGTTTGATTTACACAAGCTTTATTTGATATTTTCAATGAAAACTTTTATCACGAATTTCTTGAAGAAAAGTAAAAAACCTTTTCTTCTAGATATGGCTGGATTTGAAAACCTGACACAGTAATGGGCATACAACCCCTGGGTAAGGGTTTATTTCCCTTTAATAGCATACAGAACAGCCCTCTCATATCAGGGTGCAAATAACAGACAAGAAACAAGTTAATCACACCTATTAGCAACCATAATCCATATATTTTCAAGTCTTGAAAATAATCAGAAAATAAACTGCTAGCATGAAAAAATGACCTTAAATGTCGTCAACTTAAAAACAAACAAGATCATGTTGCAGCGGACGTTACAAATAAAACTTGGTATTAGGAAAATAAGGTAAAGTGGCCCACAAAATGATTCTTATAATTTAAAAAAGTTGCAAATTGAACATCTTTAAATATTTAATATGTCAATTTAAACAATAATAAACAACAATAACTTTTCTCTCTTGCTCTTACAGTAAATTTAATTAAATTTTAATGTTTTTACGCACCCAGTCATCAACAAATTGTTGCAACAAACATATGCCTAGCTAAGAAAGATGTAACAGCAGGTAAAAATTGTTTGTTTGTTTGTTTCATTTTACGCCTTTTTCAACAGTATTTCAGTCATATAGGCGGGTAGTTTCCTAGCCATCGTTGCTGGAGAGTTACACCAGTACTAGACTACCTTCCTCCCCGCTAAACTACCAAAGCATCTCCCGGGGATCGAACCCACGCCAGAGAGATAACTGGATTAGAAGTCATCGACTCTTACAACTGGACCACAGAGGCGGTTAGCAGGTAAAGACATTCCACACCAAAATGTGATGATAGTAAACGAAAACCTACTTTTTCTTTTTAGCTTTTGGTTCCTTTGGGCATGTAGGATATGGGTTAACTACAGGACCTGGACTCTTCACTATGATAGTCTCCACAGTGGTATTTTCTTGTCGTTTACGATAATTCATGCTTTGAGGAGCTACATGAGTTGTATCTGTCAAACCTTTTTTCTGTAAAACAAGTAATGCAATACATTTCTATTAGTCTTTAGAACTTTGTAAAAACATATGTAAAATAGTATTCAAATCTTAAAGAGGAATGGTCTGCAATAGGAAAATTCTCAGTAATGTATTTCAAATATTGATAGAAACAATAGAAATGTATCATTTTGATATTAATACACAAAATTTATTGGACAAAAAATGTTGAATATGTTTTTGGTGAATTTTTGTTATTTCTAGACATTTCATTAATAAATAAAACTTATCAATTATTAATTGACAGAAAATCAACGATACGTCAATATTGTTTCTATTGATGACAGCTCTAGTATTTAGAACTTTGTAAAAAAAGATATGTAAAAATAGTATACAAATCTTAAAGTATGGAAAATTCTCAATAAAATATTTTAAATATTCATAAAAACAATAGAAATGTTTCATTTTGATATTCTTACAAAAAATTTCTTAAGAAATGTTGATAAAGGTCTACATTATTTAGAAGGAATACTTGTTTGACAAATATTAATACTTTGTTCTATCTGCTATAAATATGTTATCTCACAGCTTCCAACATAATCCATACACTATTCTTTTCTTGGTTATTGTCACATACAAAACAAAATACTGTCTACATAATTATTTTTTTATATTGCATACCTTCCATTATGGACCAATCCACTTTCACATAAATATGCTCAAATATGATCTAAACAAATACAAAGATATTCTACTTACAGTAAATGAGAATGGTATCTGATTTTCTTACTTGTATTTAATCATTTAAATAGCATCAACAATTTAAAGATCAACATACCTTTTCAAAATTGAAGTCCTTTGGTAAATAGACAACACTATTCAATGCACCCTGAAACAATTATTGATAACACTTGCTTATTAACAAACATATATACTTTTCAAAGTCAGTTACCAGCACAAATTGAAGAATTTTCTGCATTTGATTTGATCCTCAACTCTTTATGTACTTCACTTAATGTAATCATATCTATCTAAGCTCAATTGTGAAAACAAGTTCATTCAACTTAAATTGATCACTTTCTAGTCGGCTTCCTCGAACTAACCAACACTGGTGTTGTATGACAATTAAAGGCTTGAACCCATCATCCCTTGGTTGAGAGGCAGACACCTTAACCATTAGGTAAGCACTCCAATTTCTCTACTATTCATTCATAAAACTGCTATAAGTTTTTACTAATTTGAACATTATATTTCAAAATGTATTAAAAATGTTTCAAGATTGAACCTTAAATTTATTGAACCTTACATGCATATGTCATTAAAGAGACAAAACAATTTCACTGCATTAGTGTTTATCAACATACGACTATATTTGATCTGGTATTTAGCAGTGTAATATTGTATATAACTGCAATAAGATTCCCCCCAATACTTTCCCCAAATATTTCAAACTTCACAAAAACAAAGTAATCATACAATTTTATAAAAGTTCAAATCATCTGTAAACTAGAAACTTGATTTGAAGCTATGCAGCAAGATTATTGCTTGTGCACATGTGAGTGTGCAAATACTATCTACAATAGAACTGTAAAGTAATACATTATTGATAAAACATGATCTCCTACCAAACAAACATTTCGGACAACAAGGATTCACATATATAAAAGACAGTTTTTATAGCATCCTATTCATAAACTTGGTTAAGGCAACAACAACAACATTTTCTAACACTTAAGTATAAGATAAGTACTACCTTTTCTGGCTTAGTAAATAGTTTACATGGTAAGACTGGATCAACATTCTCATCTTTGAGAACAATATTGGTGAGGTTCTTCTGTAACAAACCTAGAGCTAGGTCACATACAGCATACAGTTTCTGAAATAAGTTAAAGTTGGCTTATTAATAACTCAGACAGAAAAGTGCCTTTCTAGTTACGGCAACGATGTATCCGTTATTAAATTTTGTAAAAATAAAACATGTTTAAATGAGTGTGCATAAGGAATTCAAAAACAGTTGTATGTGATACTTGCTACAATGTCACATGGCATTTTCAATTACAAACTATTTTCCAAGTGTAAGAAACCTGTGCTATAAGGAGCTGAGCAAAGAATTGCCCAGTAGAGTACATTATTCATCTTCTATCTAGGTTAATTTGAATAACAGAACATTGTTATGTCAATAATCATCAATAAACAAAGTATCGTGTAAATAATTCCTTATCAAACAAAGTTTCAAACTAATGTAATACAATAAATACTAAAAGGTTGTCAAGAGCAAAGTTGAGTCATTTTGGCTTCTGTTGAAGAGAGAAAAATCATAAATTTGCTACTACAGAAGGTCCCAATTGCCTTCATCACTAGGTTGATCAAGCTTCATTGTTTACTATTGATAAGCAATTTATACACAAGAAGTTCAAAAAAAGAAGCACTAATACAGGTGTTTCAAACTCAAGAAGAAAAATGGATTTAATTTTTTTCATCTATTTCAAGTGGAAACTTAAAACTAAAGCTGTGTTTGTTTACATTATTTGTCTCTTCATCTTCAGGTTCCTGTGCATCCTTTGCTTGTTTTATGTTCTCTATCAGACGCCGGAAGAAATGATAATTATAATCCTCACTGCGCGCAACTAATGGTTCCATAATAAACCAAAGACATCTGGAATATACAGATATTCATATTAACACACTTCTTAACATATACATTTTTCCACTTTATACTTTCCATCTGATGAAGATAAAAGACTAGAAAGTCAGCAAACATTTCATTTGCTTTACAAAGATATAAACGCCTTTAACACTAAAAATCAACAAATAATATGATGTTAGTGAATTTTAAACTTTTTAAGGGACTCCACAGAGGTTTTTAGACATGAAGGGACTGTTAAGTAAAGACTCATAAAGACTCATGAACCATCTGATGTAGACCTGGACTAATAACTTGTTTGCAAAATTGCAAATCATTCCCTGACTGTTTTTCCAGAAAATTGTTTTCATTGTACAAAATGACCAAAAAATGCAAAGCATTGCAACTATTTTTTCTCAATCTGAGAAAGAAATCTATCCTCAATTTAAGCCCTAGTCTATTTCATTATTGTCCATTGCATCAATAATTTATGCAAGAATTGAAAATCTTATATCTTTATGTTATTTGACCTCAGTGGAGTTACAGCAGTTACATAGACACTTACTCTTTAATGTTTTTAAGAGCTTGAACATCTTCATATGACTTGAGATCTGGATCATGTGCCAATAAATGAACAGTGTACGGCATCACATAGTCAGGTAGGTACAAGAACATCTTACCTGTGTGAGAGGTAAAACATATTGCTGTAAAACTATACCCCAATATAGACAATACCTCATACATATACTCCAGGCCACTTACAATTCTTATAGAGAACATGTACCTTAAAACTAACATTCCAATCTCAAATGTAAAAGAACATATTGCAAAATAACTAATGAGTAACTTTCTTTTTAACATTACTTGTCTTTATAAATGATGACGAAAAAAGGATGAAATAACATAAGTGTTAAAATAAGCAGTTAAACAAAATTCAAAATAAATTCTTACTTCAATCAACTGTAGCATTCTGAAACATATATGTTCAAAGATTCTTTTATTTAACAAATTTTGCTCACGGAACACTCATTATTAAAGTTAATATCATTTTTTTCTCTCCAAATACCTCCAAGAGCTGGATTTTGTTTTAAGAAGTCTCTCCGCCTCTGTATATTAAGCTGAATGTAACGTTTGATACTAGTGCGTCTCTCACGGACTGGATCATTGGCAGCCAGGCTGAAGATGGACATGAACTCTAGAGGCAGCTTGAGGGAGTATAAGCCCTTGTGTAGCTTGTCTGCAAACTTCACACGTACATGATAACAACTGTCCTAATAATGTTAATATAAAACATAGTCAGACCTAGTAACTTCATCAAATACATGTTAAAATCATGATATACAGAACAAAGTAATTTCATTATGTGATCTAATCTCTTTTATGACACTAAATTAGAATATGATAATAAAACTGAAAAGCATTTTGTTTCCCCAAAACTAGCTTAAGCATATCATCATCATTTTGTAATTCATAAGCATGAATAAGGATAAGAACAACAAATCTACAAGACAGGAGAGCTAAATAAACAAGAGCACCGCTAGGCGGAGCATTATATGCTCGAAAGTGTTTTTTTTTTTTTTAGTAAGGATGAAGCATTTGTAAGACATGGGAATTCGCTGTTCATCCGTCGTAGAGTGATTAATACTTAAGTTATTAATAATGACCCTAACCTTTGACCTTGTGACCCCAAAATAGATAGGGGTCTTCTACCATATATGGACAATCATCCTAAGAAGTTTGAATATTGTGGGCCAATTGGAACTTTAATTATGCTCTAGAAACTGTTTTCAGTATTAAGGTAAAAGTGACTTTGACCTTTGACCTTGTGACCCCAAAATCAATAGGGGTCTTCTACCCAATATGGACAATCATCCTATGAAGTTTGAATATTGTGGGCAAGATGGAACTTAAGTTATGCTCAAGAAACTGTTTTTGGTTTTAAGGTACTTGTGACCTTGACCTTTCACCTAGTGACCCCAAAATCAATAGGGGTCTTTTGCCCAATATGGACAATCATCCTATGAAGTTTGAATATTGTGGGCCAAATGGAACTTAAGTTATGCTCAAGAAACTGTTTTCAGTTTTAAGGATATAGTGACCTTGACCCTTGACCTTTTGACCCCAAAATCAATAGGGGTCTTCTACCCAATATGGACAATCATCCTATGAAGTTTGAACACTGTGGGCCAGATGGAACTTAAGTTATGCTCCGGAAACTGTTTTCAGTATCAAGGTAATAGTGACCTTGACCTTTGACCCTGTGACCCCAAAATCAATAGGGGTCTTCTACCCAATATGGACAATCATCCTATGAAGTTTGAACATTGTGGGTCAATTGGAACTTAAGTTATGCTCCGGAAACTGTTTTCAGTTTTAAGGTCATAGTGACCTTGACCTTTGACCTTTTGACCCCAAAATCAATAGGGGTCTTCTACCCAATATGGACAATCATCCTATGAAGTTTGAACATTGTGGGTCAATTGGAACTTAAGTTATGCTCCGGAAACTGTTTTCAGTTTTAAGGTCATAGTGACCTTGACCTTTGACCTTTTGACCCCAAAATCAATAGGGGTCTTCTACCCAATATGGACAATCATCCTATGAAGTTTGAACATTGTGGGTCGAATGGAACTTAAGTTATGCTCCGGAAACTGTTTTCAGTTTTAAGGTCATAGTGACCTTGACCTTTGACCTTTTGACCTCAAAATCAATAGGGGTCTTCTACCCACTATGTACAATTATCCTATGAAGTTTGAACATTGTGGGTCAATTGGAACTTAAGTTATGCTCCGGAAACTGTTTTCAGTATCAAGGTAATAGTGACCTTTGACCTTGTGACCCCAAAATCAATAGGGATCTTCTACCCAATATGGACAATCATTCTATGAAGTTTGAACATTGTGGGTCGAATGGAACTTAAGTTATGCTCCGGAAACTGTTTTCAGTTTTAAGGTCATAGTGACCTTGACCTTTGACCTTTTGACCCCAAAATCAATAGGGGTCTTCTACCCAATATGGACAATCATCCTATGAAGTTTGAACATTGTGGGCCAAATGGAACTTAAGTTATGCTCCGGAAACCAAATTGCTAACGGACTGACGGACAGACAGACGGACGCCAGGGGGTATAACATAATATGCCCTTTCGGGCATATAAAAAGCAGGTTTAACATTTTAAATTTCACTAGAAGGAAAAACAAGTAAAAAAATTCAAGTGTTTTAAAATGTAAGAAAAACAGTTTCTAAAAGTTAATTTCCATTTAAAAGTCAGCTTTACTATGTTAACAGTTAGTTTCCAGTAATCTTGTTCTATAATATTTATAGTGCAATTTTGTGTAATGTTTACATTTATAAGTAAAGCAAGAGCTTGGAACTGTTCTCTCTGAAGTAAGTCAGCAAACACAGGCTCCTCTGCCAATTTAAGGATAGCACAACCAGCCTGTAGTCGTAACCTTGCCAACTCTGGTTTGCTGAAATCAAATATGTATATATGTAAAATATATGTAGTCATACAATAGTCCTTCATATTTGTTTGTTCTCAATTTGTATACCTATATTACAAGAACAAATAATTGCTAAGATTGACAGTTTTATTTTCATGGAAAAAACATGAAATTAGAATTTTTTCTTATTTTTTAGTTCAGTCTAGCAACCTGACAACAGGTTCTACATAGTAATGCAGTGGTCAAGACAAACTTTCTTACAACAGTGTATGAAATCACAACTTCATTTATAACGGTAAATTACGTCATCTTAAGCATGCCACTGCAAAGCACGCCACTCATGCCAGATTAAATTTCTGGCATGTAAACACCAGTCTGATATGCAAGAAATAGCAATTACATTATGATTGAAAATATAATTTGATTTTGTGGAGCTACTAGTAAAAATAGTTCTTTTAGCCAGAATTTGTATTTTTGGAACAGATAAATAACAGCCCTTCCATGCTTCCTAAGATCCTGAACTACAAAAATCTACATTATATACGCTCCACATCAAGATTTGCCTATTATTACTCTATTGTACCTACTTTATAAGTCCCTTCTCCATCAAATCTCCTTCATGTACAATGACGGTGTAGAGTAATCTCAGTGTAGATGTACACGAGTTGTTTACATTACTTTTTAAACCGATCAACCAGCGGACTAGTAACTTCATCGCCTGGATCTGTATACAAAAGAAGTAACTAGTTATATAAAACATGTCCAAAAGAAAACAAAACAACACAATTACAAAGAGAACGCACTTTTATTAAAGCATACCTTATAATAAGCAAAATCAAATTATTTCTAGAAAATCAAACTTGAGAAAATGTACAAAGTTTTAAGAAAGCAAAAAGATTTAACTTATGATCCTAGACTGATTTTGAAGCATTTATAACCATATTTCTACTATGTGACTGTAGCAATAGGGGTTATTTTTGTACATTTTGACCATTTTTGTTAATATATGTGGAGTGCAAATACTATTTGCAATATGTAAATTACTTTTTGTTCACTTCACAATATTTAATATTAATACATTTTCATGAAGTCTTCATTTCCGACTACATGAATTATATTATGAATCTTAAGCTGTTAGCTGCATTATCTCAGCCTTTTAATATAAACCTACCACTCTTAAAATGCAGCGTAAGTTTTAATACATATTTTGCAAGGAAAAGATGAACATAACAAAAAAGAAGAGATCTAACCTTGGCATTGGTTTCTTCTGTGACAAGATGATCCCCATACCAACTGTCCATTACAGGCCGACCATGTGTCTGAATAACAAAATATGTGTTCAAATATCTGTATGTGTTCAAATATCTGTATGTGTTCAAATATCTGTATATGTGTTCAAATGTCTGTATATGTGTTCAAATGTCTGTATATGTGTTCAAATATCTGTATATGTGTTCAAATGTCTGTATATGTGTTCAAATGTCTGTATATGTGTTCAAATGTCTGTATATGTGTTCAAAAGCCTATACATGTATATGTGTTCAAAAGTCTATATATATGTCATCAAAAGCTTACATACTTCACATTCCTGGAAGACTTATGTGAACATTTGGAGAACTTTAGAGTATTTACTTAGTAAAACTTTAATGACGTAATTAGGACAGAAAAATTGTCTGATTACAATGAACTTTCAATGTTAAACATCAATTCTTACATACCAGATTCTCATAAATATTAATTAAATATCAATTTATTATTCTTAAAAGAAGTCACTCAAAATTAATATAAATATGACGGGGCAAATATATTATAAATCTTAACTTGATTTCATTCAGCAGTTTATTGTACCGGACAAACCTCATCAATCTTCTTTCTTTCAAAATTGTATTGTAATAAAGTATAATTTGTAAGAATGGATAATATCAACAATAATTTCAGATATTGCTGTCCTATTTTAAGGCTGCAGGTGATGGTATACCAGAAATATGGAATTTGAAACTTAATTAACACTTCATTAAACATGAGAGTATTTTTCATTGTTAAGGATATAAATCTATGACTTACAGTTCAGAATACATGTTCCTTTTTAAAGCTGATATTGAGCAGAAAATATAAGCATGTTTAAAGTCAATTGTCAGCAGTCTCCAGAGCAGTTTTTCATGAAGTTTTTTCCCCACTCCTTTTTTATAAGGAAAACTCTTAAAAATTAGAGACAAAAACATTTACGTGTCACTAAGTTTATATAAATGCACAAAACTAAGATTTAAAGAGGGAACTGTGTCTGTCCACACTTACCCTATCCTGCATGAGGAGATCTTTAACAATGTCCTTGGAAACAATTGTTTTCATGCTCTGTGAGAAATCCTCCGGGCACATGGATGATATATGTCCCAGTGCAACAATGGATGTGATATAATTAGCTGATTCTGGTTTTAAGTTATTTTTTACATACTGAAAATATAACAACAATACAGAGTTTTGGTCGGTTACATACAGGGTTTAAACATTCTTAAAAATTAAAGATTTTTTTTCTTCAAGTTGTTTAGGATGTGTTACAGTTTGGTTAATTGCTATATACATAGTACAACTTTAATTGTTCTGTTCTTTTTTATGGAGATCAAAAAAGGTACATCTGTGTTTTGCTTAGGAAAATCAAGTATTACCGAAGTTCAAACATTAAAGTTTCGTAACTTTATCACATAAAAGAATTCAACATTTTATTACAAAATCAAATAGCGACAGATGGCAAGCTTTCAAAATTCAGCTACCTAAAACTGCTAGGCTACAAAAACCTGATTTTTGTTTTTATATAACATTGCATGGCCTGATGATGTCATATTTTCGAAATTCTAAGATAAATTCTTCACATACATTTCATGTATTTATCTGGCTTCATACAACAGATTTTCAAGTTGCTGTTTGTGAATATATTTTTGAAAATAAAAGATTAAGGAGTGGAATTGGCAATGAATGGCAATAATGTGAAGATACCCTGTTAAACTAGTAAAACAAAGACCTTTGAAAATGCATTTATATTTTTGAATATGCATTTATATTTGACATGGATTTGATACCTCAAAGACTTGTGATAGTGCAGACACTCTGTTAGTTTTGGCAATACTATTGATGCACCGTAACGCATGTTTAGCTTGTTTCGGGTTTCCTATCTTTGCCGTGTGTTGCAGAATAGGCAATAATTTCCTGAAAACAAAATTATATTACACACAATTATCCTCAAACTTGGTTTAATCATATTTATTTCAGCATGTGATGTCAGCTAGAGGCTTGTTTAAACCATTTTCAAGTACATTTCCAAAAACTAATCAATAATAAGATCATATGTGTAAATATGGTCATGACCCTAGCAGATGTTAACCCCACAATCCCTGGTTATTGTGGCAGACACCTCCTAAAAGGGTGAATATACATCTGTAAGACTACTTTATCATCTTTTTTACCAGTTTAAGGTTGCTTTCAGTTCTAATGATAAAATAAGAACAGTACATACGCAAAGATTTCTGGATATTCAGCTTCAAGACTCAAACCACAGCTAGCAAACACTTGAAGAGTAACATCAGCTATATGAAATAACAAAAGGAAACAACGTAAATAATTACAATTCTTACAAAACAGCAATAACAAATTTCAGTTAATCATTTTATCAGTGTAAAGGTATTGATTAAAGATTATTGGTAAAATTGAACACATTAAAACAGAATTGTATAAGCATGAACAATATTTTTAATCCAAAAAGCAGATGTAGCTTTTGTATTATTCCTCTGTCATAACAGAAACTCTCTAAAGTTCTTTTCCTTTTTTTTAATTTATTTTAATCTGTTTTAAACAGAATGAGTATTGAAACAGAAAATGAGGACAACATACCCACAACTTCATCTTCATCTTTAAGGAATGATATGAGAGTGTCAAAAGTTTCTTCCCCTTGGAAATACTGAGGGAAAACACCTGCCAAACACTGAAAATACCAAAACAAATGAGCCGGGTCATGACAAAACCAACATAATGCATTTGCGACCAGCATGGATCCAGACCAGCCTGCGCATCGGCGCAGTCTGATCAGGATCCATGCTGTTCGCTATCAGTTTCTCTACTTGTTATACGGTTTGTAAGCGAACAGCATGGATCCTGATCAGACTGCGTGGATGTGCAGGCTGGTCTGGATCCATGCTGGTCGAAAACGCACTACAGTCCGACCTCGGTTATTCGACAACCCTTTATTCGAATACCCGGCATTATCCGAAGTAGATCGCTGGTCCCGTTTTTATCTCTATATAAAACATATAAATACAAGTGTATTATTCGAAATGCATTATCCGAATACCTCCTATTTTTCGAAGTAAAATTTCGGTCCCGATTATACAATTATGAAAGTATTTCACACCTATTATTCGAAGCCAGCCTAATTATTATTCGAAGCCAGACTAATTGACGCAGATCCACTCGCTGACCAGTCGACTTGTGAAAAATATCCACAGTCATGCGTGTAATTAGACAATTATGATAATAACTCTTCGTGTGTTCTTTAATCAACTTTAATTAACGAAAATGAAAAGCTATGCGCCGTGTCCGATTTTGTTTAAGATGACAGCAATTATTTTTACACATTCCGTATATGTGAATTTGTCAAAACAGCCAAAACATTTTTTTCATTAATAATAATTGTAACGCTACATGAGAGCCTTAATTTATCCTAATCGAAAATACCAGAGTTTAGCTGTAAATACCGTACTGACGACACGGCCATTATCAAGGGTTTGCGCAAAACGAAACGATACATAATGTAGAAGTATGCAAGTATTTATGTCTTCAATGTCAATACAATAATTTTTACGCATCTTTTCTTTAATATCTATTTTTCTCAATTGATTACAGGAAGCAAGTGTGTTGTAAACGGTAGTTTTGTGGTGATTGGTCAAAGTGGAGTAGTTTTCGTCTCTCACAATATTCCGATTTCGATTATTCGAACCCATCGATTATTCGAAGTAAATATTCAGTCTCAGGAAATTCGAATAAACAGGGTTAGACTGTATGTTGGTTTTGTCATGACGTGGCTCAAATCATGTTACATGAAAAATGTCATTTTTCATAGTCAATTTTAATAGTTAATAAAGTTTAACACATAAATACATATCTCTATTTCTAGCATAAACCTTGAAAATTTGATAACAACATTTTAAGAAACCATATTGCAAATATCCGAACACAAAAAAACTAGATAATTTCAATAGCTATTGCAATTCAAAAAACTTCAAAACAATACTTTGTGTATAACCTTTTAAGAATCATTTTATCAAAATTTCTGAACAATAAAAAAAATATACTTTTACTAGTTATGCAATTCATCATATATCAAAATATTATTTGGATTATTACACATTACCAGCAAGAGTTGTGCCCCTTTTTCTCCAGCTTTACTCATATGATCGGCAATAGTTCCCTGTCCTGTAACAGCATCATCAACATGTTTGACTAGAACAGTTATTGCACTACTGTCCACCATGACCGGGGCTACACGTTCAAGTAGCGATTTTATCGTGTTGTAAAGCATAACCGCAGATTGACTGCTACCTACATTACCTCCCCCTAGCTTCTTATTCAACACATCTTTCTGTACAGGAAAAACAACAAAGAAAAATCACTATTAAATGAAACACGATTATTCAGAATTTTCTTAAACAACACTGCTGGAGTCTTTGCTGAAGAGCTTTTATTTCATATACTAAGAATTCACTTATATTTGTGGGCATAAAATTTCTTGGTTTTATCAAAACGGGCATTTTCGTGGGTTCCTAAATTCAAGGATTTTCAATTTCTTGTAAAAATAAAAATAAAATAAATAACCAAATGCAAAGAAATCTTACACTTAATCGCTGCGTATTTTACTTACCCCATGAACATATCTTTACCAAACACACAGTGCTTGTCAATAAATTTAATCCATGCCTCTTGGCACTCATTACACAACAAGAGGGCCATGATGGCCCTGAGGTCGCTCACCTGTATATAGGCCCCCCCCCCCCCAACGTTGCAGGGCCAATTTAACCCAAGGGCTTTTATTTGCACAAACTCGGTAGACACCCATAAGAAGATGTTTCATGCTAAACATCTAAGCTCTAGCTCATTGGGCTTTTTGAAAGAAGATTTTTTTAAAGTTTTTACTATACACATATAGTTAAAAACAATGACACCCCTGGGGCCGGGCCAGTTTTGACCCCAGGGCTTTTATTTAAACAAACTTTGTAGACACTTACTAGAAGATGTTTCATGATTAGTATCTAAACTCTAGCTATTTGGGTTTTTTCAAAGAAGATTTTTAAGTTTTTGCTATACACATATAAAGAAAATCAATGACCCCCGGGGCGGGGCCAATTTTGACCCCAGGTCTTTTATTTGAACAAACTTTGTAGACACTCACTAAAAGATGTTTCATGCTTAATATCTTAACTCTAGCTATTTGGGTTTTTTCAAAGAAGATTTTTTAAGTTTTTGCTATACACATATAAGGAAAATCAATGACCCCCGGGGCGGTGCCAATTTTGACCCCAGGGCTTTTATTTGAACAAACTTGGTAGACACCTATTAGAACATGTTTGATGCTAAATATCTTAGCCATACCTCTTTGAGTTCTTTAAATGAAGATTTTTTAAGTTTTTACTATATGCATATAGGGAAAATCAATGACCCCCTGGGGTGGGGCCAATTTTGACCCCAGGGCTTTTATTTGAACAAACTTGGTAGACACTTATTAAAACATGTTTCATGCTAAATATCTTAGCTTTAACTCTTTTGGTTCTTTAAAAGAAGATTTTTTAAGTTTTTACTATATGCATATAGGGAAAATCAATGACCCCTGGGGTGGGGCCAATTTTGACCCCAGGGCTTTTATTTGAACAAACTTGGTAGACACCTATTAGAACATGTTTGATGCTCAATATCTTAGCCATAGCTCTTTGAGTTCTTTAAAAGAAGATTTTTTAAGTTTTTACTATATGCATTTAGGGAAAATCAATGACCCCCCCAGGGCGGGGCCAATTTTGACCCCAGGGCTTTTATTTGAACAAACTTGGTAGACACCCATTAGAACATGTTTCATGCTACATATCTTAGCTCTAGCTCTTTTGGTTCTTTAAAAGAAGATTTCTTAAGTTTTTACTATATCCATATAGGGAAAATCAATGACCCCCCGGGGCGGGGCCAATTTTGACCCCAGGGCTTTTATTTGAACAAACTTGGAGACACTTATTAGAACATGTTTCATGCTAAAAATCTTAGCTCTAGCTCTTTTGGTTCTTTAAAAGAAGCTTTTTAAGCTTTTACTATATGCATATAGGGAAAATCAATGACCCCCCTGGGGCGGGGCCAATTTTGACCCCAGGGCTTTTATTTGAACAAACTTGGTAGACACCTATTAGAACATGTTTGATGCTAAATATCTTAGCCATAGCTCTTTGAGTTCTTTAAAAGAAGATTTTTTAAGTTTGTACTATATGCATATAGGGAAAATCAATGACCCCCTGGGGTGGGGCCAATTTTGACCCCAGAGCTTTTATTTGAACAAACTTTGTAGACACCTATTAGAACATGTTTGATGCTCAATATCTTAGCCATAGCTCTTTGAGTTCTTTAAAAGAAGATTTTTTAAGCTTTTACTATATGCATTTAGGGAAAATCAATGACCCCCCCAGGGTGGGACCAATTTTGACCCCAGGGCTTTTATTTGAACAAACTTGGTAGACACCCATTAGAACATGTTTCATGCTAAATATTTTAGCTCTAGCTCTTTTGGTTCTTTAAAAGAAGATTTCTTAAGTTTTTACTATATGCATATAGGGAAAATCAATGACCCCCCGGGGCGGGGCCAATTTTGACCCCAGGGCTTTTATTTGAACAAACTTGGTAGACACTTATTAGAACATGTTTCATGCTAAAAATCTTAGCTCTAGCTCTTTTGGTTCTTTAAAAGAAGATTTTTTAAGTTTTTACTATATGCATATAGGGAAAATCAATGACCCCCCTTGGGCGGGGCCAATTTTGACCCCAGGGCTTTTATTTGAACAAACTTGGTAGACACCTATTAGAACATGTTTGATGCTAAATATCTTAGCCATAGCTCTTTGAGTTCTTTAAAAGAAGATTTCTTAAGTTTTTACTATATGCATATAGGGAAAATCAATGACCCCCCCAGGGCGGGGCCAATTTTGACCCCAGGGCTTTTATTTGAACAAACTTGGTAGACACCCATTAGAACATGTTTCATGCTAAATATCTTAGCTGTAGCTCTTTTGGTTCTTTAAAAGAAGATTTTTAAAGTTTTTACTATATGTATATAGGGAAAATCAATGACCCCCCGGGGCGGGGCCAATTTTGACCCCAGGGCTTTTATTTGAACAAACTTGGTAGACACTCACTAGAAGATGTTTCATGCAAAATATCTAAGCTTTAGCTCTTACAGTTTTTTAAAAGAAGATATTTAAAGTTTTTTCTTTCGGTTGCCATGGCAACCAGAGTTCTGCATGGAATTAAATTTTTTGAACAATTTTTAAAGGTGACCACCAAAGGAACATTCCTGTGAAGTTTGGATGAAATTGGCTTAGTCGTTTATGAGGAGATGTCATTTAAAGTAAAAGTTTACGGACGGACGCCGGACGAAAAGCGATCACAAAAGCTCACCCTGTCACTTTGTGACAGGTGAGCTAAAAATTGGAGGAAAAGCACCGATGCATGTTTGTAATATATAGAATAGAGACATGGCAAGAAGTATTTGTCTGGATAAAATTTCGTCGGATCTTAAATTCGTGGATGGACCTACCCACGAAAACCACGAAAATTTGTGCCCCATGAATAATAATGATTTTACAGTATATAAGAATTGCAGAGATTTTTAATTCTGTGTCAATAGAAATATACTATGCATTGCAATCAAGAAATTTAAGTTAGATTTTCTACTACAAACTGCTGACAAATAAGAATGCCTATCCAAGAGTGTAACATAATTATTCCTTTCGCCATTTCAATTTTTAAAGAGATATCTTTACCATTTCAGTTTTTAAAGACTTATCTCTAATTAACCATTTCAGCTATTAAAGTGGAATGTGTATATACAATAACTATAACAAAATACATACAACATTTTCATTGGCTTTACGACAGTTACAGTCAGCACTAACTAGATATCTCATTAGAGAACGCAGCCTACGATCATCTCTCATCATCTCATTAAACAGTTTCACCTGCTCTAATGATTTCTGTGTGTCTGGTAATGTTCCTAAAATAGTGCGAAAACGTCAAATGTTTATTGTATAAAACGGTCATAGACTAGAACTGCCACTGTCATGGCGTGAATACCCCCGCAAACCACTTTGTCAGAATCAACAGTGGCCATTTAGAGCTCAAGGACAACCTTCCTGCCAAATCTGAGGTAACTAAGCCAGTGCATTGTATTCTACATGCTTCAAATGTCAAAATCAATACACTGCGGACAGACATTCTTAAGCAATTGAGAGGTAAAGCTTTTTTTAATCAAGGTCCCTGTGACCTTGACCTTTGACCTCAAAATTAATAGGGGTCACCTTATGGTCATGATCAACCTCCATGCCAAATATGAAGACTGTGGGTTAAAGGAATCTTACAAACTTTTTGAAGTCAAAGTCCATACGACCTTGACCTTTGACCTAGTGACCTCAAAATCAAAAGGGGTCACCTACTTATCATGACTAACCTCAATGCCCAATATGAAGACTGTGGGTCAAAGCATTCTCAAGTTATTGGGCGGACAAGCTTTTTATAGTCAAAATCCTTGTGACCTTGACCTTTGACCCAGTGACCTCAAAATCAAAAGGGGTCACCTACTAATCATGAATAACCCCATGCCAAATATGAAAACTGTGGGTCAAAGGAATCTTAAGTTATTGGACGAACAAGCTTTTTATAATCAATGCCCTGTGACCTTGACCTTTGACCCAGTGACCTTAAAATCAATAGGGGTCATCTACTACTTATGACTAATCTCCATGCCAAATATGAAAACTGTTGGTTAAAGGAATCTTAAGTTATTGAGCGGACAAGCTTTTTTTAGTCAAGGCCCCTGTGACCTTGACCTTTAACCCAGTGACCTCAAAATCCATAGGGGTCATCTACTAGTCATGACTAACCTCTATGCCAAATATGAAGACTGTGGGTCAAAGGAATCTTAAGTTATTGGACGGACAAGCTTTTTATAGTCAAGGCCCCTGTGACCTTGACCTTTGACCCAGTGACCTCAAAATCAATAGGGGTCATCTACTACTCATGACTAATCTTCATGCTAAATATGAAGACTGTGGGTGAAAGGAATCTTAAGTTATTGGGCGGACAAGCTTTTTTAGTCAAGGCCCCTGTGACCTTGACCTTTGACCCAGTGACCTCAAAATCAATTGGGGTCATCTACTTGTCATGACTAACCTCTATGCCAAATATGAAGACTGTGGGTCAAAGGAATCTTAAGTTATTGGGCGGCCAAGGAAAAACCAACAGATGGCCAGACGGCCGGACGGACGAGCTGATTCCAGTATACCCCCCTTACAACTTCGTTGTGCGGGGTATAATAATGTTTCTTTTACATGCCAAATGTGGCGTCGTAGCCATCTGTTTGGCATGTTTACGTCAGTTCTTTTGTTATCTATCATATGAACTAAAGAGGTTAAATAAAGCCAAACATGTATTGATAAACTTGAATTGGTTTTAAACTTTATGAATATTTTTATCGCAAAAATTATCACATGAAAGATTTCTGCAAGATCAAAGGTCAATGTCATAAATGGAAAGATTTCTATATAAAGTTCAAAGGTGTATAAATTTGATGGTTCATACAACACTTGCACACAAAAATTCAAGGAGTTTTCAAGGACCATCCCTCACTTTTCAATGACTAATAAGCTATAACCCGAATCCATGCTATGTTTTTCTTAATTCTTTGATTAAAATTTAAAAAAAATTTGTCATTGCTTTATCTCTGCAATATTAAACAATATATCTGTAACATAAGATTCTCTCATTATAATTTTAATCTTACTTGCTATTTGTTGTAGTTTAGGTAAGAAGACCACATGTTCTCTGGGATTTGCAGTCATTTTATCAAGTCCATCAAGTAGAAACTTTACACATGTTCGGACCCTAAAAAATATACAACACAATGACTAAATTCGCATTATTTCAATTTCACCCTGTAGCTACATTAACATGAAGCAGAAAAATTTAGGATGTTTACATCTTTTTTCACACCTAGTTCTCTGCCGTGGAAGAGAAGGGTTGTCCATGATTACTTTGAAACCGTAAATCACTCAGCAGCCGTGTCTGCCTGCTCAACCATCCAAACATAAACTTTATTGCATAACTAAACTTTGTAAAAGAAGGACTATCAAATGAGTAATAGAAGGAAAAGTGTACTTCATGTCAAACTAAAATTGTATGTCAAACTAAAATTGTAAATCCAGTATAATGAGAAAATACAGTTACACGAATAAATTGGAAAAAAAAGAGTTAAATTACAAAGACTATAAATTAGGTCAATATAGAAGAGAATAAACTTACATATGTCTGTGCTTCATCATTTCATGGAATGCTCTGTAAACAAAATAGTAGTTTATTGAAATGAAAAAAATATGATACTTTATCATTCAACAATATTCAAAAGGAAACTTTTTTTGTGTGCAAAAGTTCTATATAAATATTTTTATTGTTGTTGTTGTTTTTAAACAAAGGTTTTCTTTATAAATATTTTTATTGTTGTTTTTGTTTTTAAATAAAGGTTTTCTTTTCTTCATATTTTATAAAACACATTATATCATGTATAAATCAATATATGAGAGCTTTTTAATAAGGTAAAATCACAATTACAATAATTCATGTCTGAAATAAAGTCTGGCCAATAATGACTGTTATCTGCTACATTTTTGGGGGGGCTATATCCTGAAACAGACCTTGGGGTAAATTTAAGGTTCATTTTCTTTTCTACAATTTATTATATACAATTTTTACTCCAGAAAAATATAACAGGGTCTATTTTTTCATGTTCAAACTAATCTGTTTTTTTTTTGGATTTACTCAGTGAAATCTATATATATTGGAGGAAAAAAATGTAATTTATTTTATTCTTAGTAAGAAATTTGTAGGAATCTGTTATGGAATAATTTTAGAAGTAATACACTAAAATAGTGATTGCTTTTTGTTCTGCAAACTCCTCTTTTTTTTTGCATAACAAATAAAGTATGAACCTATCTTACTTTTAGCCTAAAACAAAATGTGAAGCAATTTATTCCCATATTTGTCTTTAAGCATTGAAAAAGAAACACCTCAACTCGGACTTGTGAAAGTCTATTTGGCAAAACCAGTGGGTAAAACAAACAAAACAACAAGTTAAACAGGTAAGGACAATCTCAAGTAAAACACTACGCAGGAAAATAAAATAAAAAGAAAAGAATAGTAGACAGGCAAATAAGATAAGAAGTTGAGTATTTTATTTACTTTGTTGCTGGTTCATCTAGTGTAGCATACAGCTGGAACAGTCGTTTCATCCTCTCTGTTACAGGTAACTGATACGGTACCAGGCATATATTGAATAACCTCTCTACAAGTAACCTTCAAAATATATAATATTAATAAATGTTGAACCAATTGTTGTTTTTTTTGGTTATTTTGGTTTTTTTTTTTTTATCAATCCAATTTAAACTCATTTTTGAATTTATCTCAGTGATAAGTCCACCCAATATACTTCTCTATAAACAACCAACAATTACTCCTACATTATTGCTGAATTCATGATCATAGACATAAATTATAAGACATAACATTATTAAAATAGCATAATCACATGTGATTTACTAATTTAATCAATGATAAAATCATATACAAAAACTTTTGGTCACAAAAATACAGACAAAATAATAGCCAATCACTTTCATAATTATCGCAAGCTTAACACTTATGCACCACAAAGTACAAATTTAATTTTTTATTATTTTAAACATATAAATATACTGTTTCTAAACTTCTGAAAATGTCTGAAAAAAAAACTTTGAGTAGAACAGTGTTAAGAACAAATTTATCCAATACTTAACAAAGCCAAAATTATCACTTTTAAACTTGTGAGAAAGAGACAAAATTCTGACCTGTCCTCTGGGTTCTGCTGGTAGTATGCATGGAAAATTTTATTTTTCACCCAAACAATCTTGTCTAGATGTTCTTGGCTGACACTTTCAGCCATTGTAACAACCTTGTACAATTGACCCAAACCATTCAAAGCATCTCGTCTTATTTTGAACTGAAAAATCATAAAATACATCCGTGATCTTATAAGACAACCATTATCGAAAACTTCTAGATAAGGCAGACTAAAAGAAAATGCACTCTAAAAATTCACTATGATGAATTATTCACTGCGTTAAATTGACCAAATAACCAGTTATGGACCATATAACCAGTTATGGTTAACCAGTCTATTTTTAATCAGTTTTTTTTAATAATAATTCATCATCATACATCAGGGTTTGCCATTAAAAGGCAGCTGTAAGCCAAAATGACTGTCTCAAATGCACTTTGGGCCACATAAAAACTTAGAAAACACTCTTCAATAAAATTTGATAAAACCAAATTTAACAATCTCAAATGCAAAACAGAACAACCATCTCAGAAAAATTAAAATGATAACACTGATATTTTAGGAAATGTTGAATATATTGAAAGTTTCCATAAATTGGGTCAGTAAAGTGATTCACCTTTTTATCCCTTGTTCTCTCCTTAATAACTTCCAGCATTTCTGGTGTAGTTGCAGCAAAGTTTTTCTTGGCAATATTAAGAAGTGTATTCACTACCTCCTGTCTTACAGTCTCCTCAGCATCATGCTGGCGAATCTTTACTTGTTCTGTGAACAAAAATGGCACCATGCAATATCATCACATTTATATAATTAAATTAAATCCCCCCCACCCCACACTTTATTTTTCATCCAATAATCTTAAAGAACCTTAATGATACAATACAAATATACAATCGGCTATAAAAGTGAAACAAGAGTGTCACAGAAATCGGGTTATACAGTATAATCAAAAGCATTTTATTTTTTGAATGAACTCAATGAAAGCAGTCTTTCCGAAAGACCGTCGGACCGTCGGCCCTGACCGGTAAAAAATCAGAAGGTCCGATAAAAATATATGTATTGACGGCCCGACGGTCCGGTAAAAAATTAAGGTTTTATAAAAACCTTACATTCAACATTTTGCAAAGGCCGATCATTTACCTAAATTCAAAACATATCAAAATGTTGTCATTACACAATATAAGCTCGTGCAATGCTTGTCAACTGTTATGCATTCTCATAATGCAAACTTTTATGTAACTACGTAAGATAAAAATATCCGACAACTAGTACAATTAAAAGTCAATAAGCGGCCGCGTAAATTACATAAGCAGCCCAGATGTGAAAGGTCACCAGCTACACAGATGAAATTGTCAGTGTATTAATTGGAACAATTTATGTCTTTAATCCACAGACTTAGATTAATGCTTAATTACATGTGTGCTCAACTGGTGTTTAGCTATGAAAGATCGTCCAAGATGTTGACAAAAATTAAACTATACTGTGAAGGTACCAAAATCATTGAACAGTTAATCTGTCAACTTCACTAAATTACCGATATATATAATTCTGTTTACATATGCCAGACTTTTGCTGAAATTTACCCTCTCATTTTGCTAGTATATAGTCTGTATGGAATTAAAGTTTAAATAGCAAAATCCATTGAATACATGTATAACAATATTTATGTTTACATTTTGATTGTGGTAAAAAAAGATAACTTCACTTTGTTGATAATATAATTTTCTTTTTGTACACAAATTTTTTGACTGCTGACTCTTATCAAGTGACTCAAAATGCTATACCAATCAGGTTTTTTTTCGGTCAGTAAAATCATGTTTGGTCCAGTAAAAATTTTCAGTTTACAGGACCTACTGTCCAGTAAAACTCAGAAGTCTTTCGCATAGACTTGTGAAAAAGGATTCAAAAACTTTGTGATTTGGACATATGGACAAGTGATTAAGAGCTTGTCTTCACTATTATAAATTTTACATATTATACAAAATGCTAAAATGTTTAGCATTTGTACAGTGTTGCTTTTAGAGAGCAGGATCCGAGGAATCCTGCAATATTAGAAGCAGGGTACCCCTAAAATTGTATCCCCAATTGCTCCTATAAATTTCTCACTCTTAACTGTAATTTCTTATTCTGATCATATTTCTTCTTTAGCTCAACAGCTGGACACTGTTTTTCCTCATTTTACACATTATGCAAGTAAGAAAATGGTTCAAACTTTAACAAAATGGTAAAGACACATGCATCTGACCGAGTTTATTGAATATAAGAGAAAATTCACAGGAACTAAAAATAGGAAATAAAGGTTCGAAAACAATTTTCAGGGTGATAATTTTATAATGTTATCATTGAAAAAGAACTTGTAAGTGATAATATATCTACAAGAAAAATCACGTTCCCCCTGTGGGATGAATAATAATGAGTGGGATAGAAAATAAAAGCAAGAGCCATGTCAACATGACCATCCTCTCCGGATGTGTTTTGCTCATGGAAGAATGTATATTTAGAAGAGGAGAATAATTCAATTTTAAGAGGTCTTTGGAAATTAAAACTGATGGCTGAAGTGATTACAAATTTGAAACCTTTGTGAATACTGATAGCTGAAAATAACAAAGGGCAATAACTCAAAAATGCAGGGTATGTTATCGTTCTTGTGTGCTGCACTACTCCTCAATGAGACCTATCCACCTATGAAGTTTCAAGTTGATATTTCAATAGTTTTTATAGTTATGCTCTGGACAAAAAATAAGCATGAAAAAAAAACAAAGAGCAATAACTGAAAACAAGAACCGGTTGAACCGGGTGATGCTCCCCGAGAAGGTTCTGGACACAGGAAAGTATAAAAAAAATTAACAAAGGGCAAAAACTCCAAAATTAGGCAAAGCGGAGATATGTTTTTTTGCACTGCACTTCTATTCAATGAGATCTATCTATCTATAAAGTTTCCTGATGATATTCAGAGTTATGTCCCGGGTAAAAGTCAAAGTTTAAAAATGAACAAAGGGCAATAACTCCAAAATTAGACGCAGGCTTTGTTTAGGTTCTTTAAGCATTGCAGTTCTATCCAATTATATCTAGCTACCTACAAAGTTTCATGTTGATATCTCTAATAGTTTTAAAGTAATGTCCAGGACAAAAAGTCAAAAAGTAAAAAAAACAAAGGGCAATTACTTCAAAATAAGGCAAGGCAGAGTAATGATTCTTAAGCACTGCACTTCCACCCAATGAGACCTATCTATCTACAAAGATTCAAATGTTTGATATCTCTTATAATTTTAGAGTAATGTCCCCAGACAAGTTCAAAAGTGTCAAAAATGAACAAAGGGCAATAACTCTAAAAGTAGGCAAGACAGTGTTTACAGTTCTTGTGCACTGCAAACTTACTCAATGAGATCTATCTACCTACAAAGTTTCATGTTGATATATCTCTATACATTAAGAGTTATGTCAGGACAAAGTTTCAAAGTGTAAAAATAAACAAAGGGGGATAATTCAAAAATTAGGCAAGGCAGAGTAAGGTTTCTTGTTCACTGCACAACCTACTCAATGAGATCTATTACCTATCAAAGTTGTATGTTGATACTCTTATACTTTTAGAGTTATGTCCCGGACAAAGTTCAGTGTAAAATAAACAAAGGGGGATAATTCAAAAATCAGACAAGGCAGAGTTACGATTCTTGTGCACTGCACACCTACTCAATGAGATCTATCTACCTACAAAGTTTCATGTTGATACCTCTTATACTTTTAGAGTTATGTCCCGGACAAAGTTCAAAGTGTAAAATAAACAAAGGGGAATAATTCTAAAATTAGGCAAGGCAGAGTTACGGTTCTTGTGCACTGCACACCTACTCAATGAGATCTATCTACCTACAAAGTTTCATGTTGATACGGGGACGGACGGACGGAAAGACGGACGGACGGAAAGACGGACTGACGGACAAGGCGGCGACTATATGCTCCCCCGAAATTTTTTCGGGGAGCATAAAAATTATGCAGGGTAGAGATATCATTCTTGTGTGCTGCACTCCTCCTCAATGAGATCTATACATACATGAAGTTTCATTTTGATATCTCAAAGGCTTTTTTTGTAATGCTCTGGACAAAAATTAAGCATGAAAAATAACAAAGAGCAATAACTGAAACATTAATTTATGCAGGGTAGAGATATCATTCTTGTGTGCTGCACTCCTCCTCAATAAGACCTATCCATGTTGATATATCAAAGGCTTTTATAGTTATGCTCTGGACAAAAATTAAGCATGAAAAATAACAAAGGCCAATAACTGAAAAAATATGCAGGGTAGAGTTTTCATTCTTGTGTGCTGCACTCTTCAATGCGATCTGTCCATCTATAAAGTTTCATGTTGACATCTCAAAGACTTTTTAAATTATGCTCCACTCAGATGAAAAATTAAGAATGAAAAATAAAAAAGGGCAATAACTGAAAAATTATGAAGAGTAGAGTTATCATTCTTGTGCACTGCACACCTCTTGAGTGAGATCAATCCACTTATGAAATATTATGTTGATATCTCAAAGGGTTTTTTGAGTTATGCTCTGGACAAAAATTAAGTTTGAAAAATAACAAAGGGCAATAACTCAAAAATTATGCATGGTAGAATTATCATTCTTGTGCACTGCACTCCTCTTTAATATGATCTATCCACCTATGAAGTTTCAAGTTGATACATCAAATACCTTTTGAGATTCGCTCCAAACAAAAATGTCGGACGGAAGGAAGGATGGACGGAGACTATTTCTATATCCCCCAACGCCTTTCGGCGAGGGATAATAAGTGCTAGTGGTGCTGGTGTTTATGAAAAACTTTGACAAAAGTCATATGATCTGGTTAAATGATTTTTTTAAAATCAAATTCAAAACCCTTAAAATTGTGTTGTTCTATTATCTCATGGTCCACTATCAAGACATGTAGAATGTTTTTGGTTTTTAACACACATGAACACTGTACGTAAGAAAACATGAAATGTTCCAGAACAAATATTATGCTACTAAGTAGGATTTTAATGATATACTATGCTCAAATTTGATATTGACAAATATTGATAATTGCTGCACAATCTCTTTGTAAAAAAATGAAAAATAAAATAACGTATTTTAACTTCATTCCCAAAAGTAAGACAATGTTTATGTTTTTAAATTTCTACACACTACTTAGATGGTTTACAATATGAATTATATCTTAGCAATTAAAAAGAGAAAGACCAACTTTAGCAAGACCTGTATTGAGAAACGCAGCCTCCCATACATAGATTTTTCTTTCTTTTATTGAAATTAGACATATTCAGTTAGAAATTTCATAGATTTCAATAAATTTCTTTGATTCAAACATTTTACTCATGGATGACCATAATATATCTTTAATTTTTTTGCAATGATTTCATTAAAACAGGTAAACTGAAATTGTTCTTTTACAAAATTCAAACAAAAATTTGTTGTAAACTGCAGGAAAGAGATATAGCTTTATACATTTTAAGGGTGGTCATTTAGATTTAAGGAAAAAAAAAAACGAAACGGTTGCTGAACAATGTTGAATGTGAAACAGAATGACTGTATTTCATTTTCTACCTACCGATGACATCTTTAGTAAGTTCTGGATGATGTAAAACAAAGCTGACAGCTGATTGCACACAAATTGTCCTCACAGTTATACTGATGTCATTAAACCTAAAATATCAATTATAATGTTTGTGGTATACCAATATAAGGTCCCATTCCAATACAAAATATTCCCCCCATTAAAAACATTCTCCCAACAGCAGCCTTTGAAAAGAAAACTTATATATTGAACTCTTTTGACTTCTTCCTTAAAAGAAGTGGCCAATTACTTGATCAATCGATCATGCACATGTTTAAAACAACTGAAATTCAGGTAGTTTTTTAGCTCTTAAAAATTACTGAAATTTCTCAAAATGCATGAACAATTTTCAATATTTTAATGCTGGGGCTTTTTCCCCATAAAAAGCTCAAAAATGTCCCGAAAGTGTGCACTTTTAGATCTTGATATAAAAACATATTTGTACTGTTTATTAAAATCATACAAGTACTTAATTTAAAAAAAAAACAACAACAACAAAAACTTAAAACTTTTATTTAGGGTAAAAACTTCATATTTTCCAAAGACTTGACGAATTGAATTTGTGCCTACCTGCCCAGAAAACAGATCCACAGTGCTTTATTCTGGTCAGCTAGATTTGATTCAGGATCAGAGAACATCTTTGATAATATTTTAGTCACCTGTTTCCGTTCGGTCTCCTCATTACTCTGTGAACACATTAAGTTATGATTATCACACAAAAATATAGGGCTGTCATTGAATTTTGAAATATCGATATATCATCGATATTCATCATCCGATACAATTCAATACAATATGATACAAAATTTCAAATATTGATACAAGCTAAATTGATTTTCTTCAGTTAGTGAATATAACTCTCTATTTAGCCTTATATGAGTAGTAACTTTTTTTTCCAGTTTACTTGGCTAACTTTGACTGTTTTCAAATGTCAGTGACGAAAATAACAGAAAACAAGAGGGCCATGATGGCCCTGAGGTCGCTCACCTGTATATAGCCCCCCCCAACCCTGAGCCAATTTTTACCCAAGGGCTTTTATTTGTTTATTTGAACAGACTTGGTAGACACCCATAAGAAGATGTTTCATGCTAAACATCTAAGTTCTAGCTCATTGGCTTTTTTAAAAGAAGATTTTTAAAGTTTTTACTATACACATATAGTTAAAAACAATAACACCCCTGGGGCAGGGCCAGTTTTGACCCCCGGGCGTTTATTTTAACAAACTTTGTAGATATTTACTTAAAGATGTTTCATGCTTAATATCTAAACTCTAGCTATTTGGGTTTTTCCAAAGAAGATTTTTAAGTTTTTGCTATACACATATAAGGAAAATCAATGACCCACCCCCACCCCCGGCGGGGCCAGTTTTGACCCCAGGGCTTTTATTTGAACATACTTGGTAGACACCCATTAGAACATGTTTCATGCTTAATATCTTAGCTCTAACTCTTTGAGTTCTTTAAAAGAAGATTTTTTAAGTTTTTACTATATGCATATAGGGAAAATCAATGACCTCCTGGGGCGGGGCCAATTTTAACCCCAGGGCTTTTATTTGAACAAACTTGGTAGACACTCATTAGAAGATGTTTCATGGTAAATACCTTAGCTCTAGCTCTTTGGGTTCTTTAAAAGAAGATTTTTTAAGTTTTTACTATATGCATATAGGGAAAATCTATGACCCCCTGGGGCGGGATCAATTTTGACCCCAGGGCTTTTATTTGAACAAACTTGGTAGACATTCACTAGAAGATGTTTCATGCCAAATATCTAAGCTCTAGCTCTTATGGTTCTTTAAAAGAAGATTTTTTTAAGTTTTGACTATAAGCATATAGGGAAAATCAATGACCCCCGGGGCGGGGCCAATTTTGACCCCAGGGCTTTTATTTGAACAAACTTGGTAGACACTCACTAGAAGATGTTTCATGCTTAATATCTTAGCTCTAGCTCTTTGGGTTCTTTCAAAGAAGATTTTTAAGTTTTTACTATATGCATATAGGGAAAATCAATGACCTCCTGGGGCGGGGCCAATTTTAACCCCAGGGCTTTTATTTGAACAAACTTGGTAGACACTCATTAGAAGATGTTTCATGGTAAATACCTTAGCTCTAGCTCTTTGGGTTCTTTAAAAGAAGATTTTTTAAGTTTTTACTATATGCATATAGGGAAAATCTATGACCCCCTGGGGCGGGATCAATTTTGACCCCAGGGCTTTTATTTGAACAAACTTGGTAGACATTCACTAGAAGATGTTTCATGCCAAATATCTAAGCTCTCTTATGGTTCTTTAAAAGAAGATTTTTTAAGTTTTTACTATATGCATATAGGGAAAATCAATGACCCCCCGGACGGGCCCAATTTTGACCCCAGGGCTTTTATTTGAACAAACTTGGTAGACACTCACTAGAAAATGTTTCATGCCAAATATCTAAGCTCTAGCTCTTTTGGTTTTTTAAAAGAAGATATTTAAAGTTTTTTCTTTTGGTTGCCATGGCAACCAGAGTTCTGCATGGAATTAAATTCTTTGAACAATTTCTAAAGGTGACCACCAAAGGAACATTCCTGTGAAGTTTGGATGAAATTGGCTCAGTGGTTTATGAGGAGATGTCATTTAAAGCAAAAGTTTACGGACGGACGGACGACGGACGAAAAGCGATCACAAGGGCTCACCCTGTCACTTGGTGACAGGTGAGCTAAAAACAAACTTTCTGTTAGTTTGTAGTATTTGTAATGTGTAATACAACCATGTATAACACCATGATCCCAACTGACAACATTTATACGGATTTCATTGTATCTATTGTCAAAGTTGATATATTGATATATCATTGATATTTGTCTTTTGATATATGGATACAAAATTTTCCATCATAATAACCCTACAAAATACAGTAAAACTTGTTCTCAATGACCACTCTAAAGAATTCCAATACAAGTACTTTGTTAACAGGTGAAGTTGTCAATCAAATTGATAGTTTTGATATATAATTAATCAAGAGGAAAGATGATTTAACAAGAGCTCTCATAGGAGACAGTGAAGCTCGACTAATAAAATACTGAACACAGTAAAGAAGACAAAACTATGAAAGGAAAGTCAATTGCTTATAATTATGTATATATAAAAAATAACATTTGATAACATAATTTTAAGTGCAAGGGGGAATTATTCTGGAAATAATCAAGCTAGAGTTATGAACCTTGTCACACAACATGTGTGTACTGATAAGAAATATATATTTGAAGTTTGAAGTAGATACCTTAAAAATTAAATAAGTTATAATATTTCTTAAAGAAAATCCCAATTTCAAAGAGAGATAAATCTGAAAATATTGCTTCAAGAGTTAAGAACCTTGTCACATAAGATGTAACTGATGATAAGGAATAAGTATTTGAAGTTGGAGGTAGATACCTTTTAAACTCAAGAAGTTATAGTAAACAAGAATGTCAAACGACACATATACCCCCCTTTCTAGCCATTGACTCACATAATTGGTAATTTTATTAAAGAAACTTGCCAACAATGGGTACATGGAAGTGTTCAATTATGGAAAAATCAACGTAAACCATTTTGACATTTAAGGCCCATGTGACATTGACCTTTGACCTAATGACCCCTAAATCAATAGAGGTCATCTAATACTTATGACCAATAACTAGGTGAAATATGAAGACTTTGTGATGAATACTTTTCAAGACAGTAAGTGGAAACCCTTTTGACATTTAAGGCCCCTGTGACCTTGACCTTTGACCTAGTGACCCCAAAATCAATAGGGGTCATCTACTAGTGATGACCAATCACTATGTGAAATATGAAGACTTTGTGATGAATACTTTTCAAGATAATCAGCAGAAACAATTTTCACATTTTAAGGTCCCTGTGACCTTGACCTTTGACCTAGTGACCCCAAAATCAATAGGGGTCATCTACTAGTGATGACCAATCACTATGTGAAATATGAAAACTTTGTGATACATACTTTTCAAGATAATCAGCGGAAACCATTTTGACATTTAAGGCCCGTTACCTTGACCTTTGACCTAGTGACTCCAAAATCAATAGGAGTCATCTACTAGTTATGACCAATCACTATGTGAAATATGAAGACTTTGTGATGAATTCTTTTTAAGATAATCAGCAGAAATTATTTTCACATTTTAAGGTCCCTGTGACCTTTGACCTAGTGACCCCAAAATCAATAGGGGTCATCTACTAGTTATGACCAATCACTGCGTGAAATATGAAGACTTTGTGATACATACTTTTTAAGATAATCAGCGGAAACCATTTTGACATTTAAGGTCCCTGTGACCTTGACCTTTGACCTAGTGACCCCAAAATCAATAGGGGTCATCTACTAGTTATGACTAATCACTATGTGAAATATGAAGACTTTGTGATGAATACTTTTCAAGATAATCAGCGGAAACCATTTTGACATTTAAAGCCCCTGTGACCTTGACCTTTGACCTAGTGACCCCAAAATCAATAGGGGTCATCTACTAGTTATGACCAATCACTGTGTGAAATATGAAGACTTTGTGATACATACTTTTTAAGATAATCAGCGGAAACCATTTTGACATTTAAGGTCCCTGTGACCTTGACCTTTGACCTAGTGACCCCAAAATCAATAGGGGTCATCTACTAGTTATGACCAATCAATATGTAAAATATGAAGACTTTGTGATAAATACTTTTCAAGATAATCAGCGGAAACCATGTGGTCTACCGACGGACAGACGGACAGACCGACGGACGGACAGACAGACCGACATTAGCAAAACAATATACCCCCTCTTCTTCGAAGGGTGGCATAAAAATAACCTTATTTCAAGTAAAACTAGAACTATCACTAAATGTGATTAATACCCCCACAAGACTGCTTCGGAAATGAGGATGTTACCAGTAACAGAATACCTTGTAAAAGAATTGAAATATAGAGTTATGGTTGTGGGCAATTAAAGATAGTTGTGGTTCTTGTATGTTGCATTTCCTTTCAATGTGGTTGGCCATTGATGAAGTTTTATTGAACAAGATATGTTTGTAAAACATGTATGCCCCCTATCGGCAGCCAATTAGTCATGTGATCAGGTTATTATGCATGACTTCTGACCCAGTGAACAAACAATTAATAAGGGTTATCTAGTATCTACTGGTCATGACTAGTCACAAGGTAATAATTATTGTGACCCCATGCAGGTTGTGTGCAGCAATTTAAGTTATTACAAATCTTACCAAATGATATATGCATAAATTTTATGAATCATGTAGGCCTCATTAATGACAGCAAAGTTGTTATATTACATCAGACCTTCAAATGTGTATACCAAAAGCATTTTTAGTTTAATATAAATATCAACCAAGGCAACTTGAGTTGTTGAGTTATTGGTCAGAAACCGTCATTAAGTACAAGGTCAATATGACATTGACCCCTTTACCCCAAAATCAATAGGGGTCATCAACTGGTCATGACCAATCATCATACCAAGTTTAAAGTTCCTAGGCCTAAGCGTTCTTTAGTTATTGATCAGAAACCATTTTTACCTACAAGGTCAATTTGACCTTGACCTTTGACCCCTTGACCCCAAAATCATTTGGGGTCATCTGCTGGCCATGATCAATCATCATACCAAGTTTGAAGTTTCTAGGCCTAAGCATTCTTTAGTTATTGATTGGAAACCTTTTTAC